GTGGAATATTAAGGGCGTTATGTGCTATATGTTGGAAAAGAGTCTGTGGTGGATGGTCTTTTTGAGAGGATTGGTGTAGTTGTAGATGAACCTCGGTTGGAGTGGGGGAGTTGGGAAGACCCATCATTGAGGTTTCAAACACAGTGGAAGGTATGGGCATGCGGAGACCAAGGCTAGGTGATGGTGCACTAGAAGTAGATGTATTAAGTTTGTTATGAGAATTGGGAGTGCTTTGTCGAGCCGTCCGGATGGCTTTGCTGGAAGACTCTGAGGTGTCTTCAATGGTATTAGAATGACCCGTATGTCCCGGTGAGTTCTTAGCATGTGTGACATGGTATTGAAGACCATTGATGTTCTTGTATCTTTTCCGCATCTCACAACCGGGCATAGTGCATCGAAAAGGCTTTTCGACCGTAGTCCCTGCATGCGATGCCTTAATGTGATAGTAGAGGAGCGATGGTGATGAACTCATGAAATTACAGTCAAGGATTGCGCAGCCATACGGCTTAGTGTCGTCCTCAGGTTCACTATTGTCTGCTTGATCACCCTTAATATCGCTCGCAAGTTTTGCAAAAGAATCATCGTCCAGCGTGATCCCATGCTCCAGAAACTCTTCGTCGAAAAATGAATCTCGCATCAACAGGATATCGTCTGAATTTACGTGATAGTTTGCATCGGATTCAAAGTCATCGTTATGTGTATCTAAAAGAGCCTCCAGACGACGGGTTTCGGCAAGGATGGCTGCATCATTGCTGCTTCCTTGGCCTCTTTTTTTGTTGACTCGCTTCATGTGGTTGATCCCTCTCTGAATTTTCCGCCAGCGGTTTCGACAGTGTACCAGGTCTTCCTGGAAAGGCCAGAGCAATCTTTTGCCACTGACTGCCAAACTCCTCAAATCTCTGTAACAAGATAAGATCGTCCTCTGGAGTCCAGGCAGCCCTATCAATATGTGGATCCAGACCTTCGCGCCATCTCTTGGCACATTGGTCATCAGTACGCCCAGGAATACGCTCTGCAATCTTGCTCCATTGCCCCTTAAACATTTCCACACCGGTCCTGAGTAAGTGATCCTCTTCTGGGGTCCAAGGACCTTTTTTGAGCTTAGGGTCGAGTGAGTGGAACCAACGTTTCCTGCAATTTTTGTTGGTTCTTCCTGGTACACATGCTGCAATCTTGGCCCACTTTTCTGTTTTATCCCCGTATTTTTGAACTGCAGCACGAAGGAACTCGTCTTCCTCAGGTGTCCATACTATTCTCTCGCCACGATCCCGTTTTCGAGGAGCAGCTGCTTCTTCTAGATTAAGAAGGTCTTCAATATTAGGCTCTTCCTCTCCTGTCAGCCCCAATGAAGGCATATCCTGTGGCAGCGCAGCATTAAAGACCACAGCCGGCACCTATTTATATGACAGAAAAGAATATATATATATATAAGAGAGAGGCCTTTAGCTTCTTTCGTAGTCAACATTATATGTCAATGGCTATCCTTTTGCATTAAAGTGTAAGATCTTCTGCCTTGTAACCATCCATGTCCTTACAGGTTATCCTTTGACCCACCCTCGTGTGGGGGTGAATAGAACGTGAACTATAGACCATGGATCACAAAACTGGGCGTTAGTTGTGGTAGTACCAATATATACAAGGGCTGTTCAAAAAAAAAAAAAAAAAAAAAAAAAGGAGTAGAAGTATAAGCGCAAACCACCTACATCGAATTGCGACGATGCCTGGTATGCAAAGTGCGAATAAGGCTCAAAGTCAGAGTGAGAACTGTAGCTGTCGCTCTGGTGAAAAACGAAGTGATGGATGAGACGAAAAAAAAAGCAAGCAAGCAAGGGTGTCAATTAGTAAGGAGAAGAGAGATGGAAAAGGAGCACCTTGGGTTGAGTGAGTGCTGCCAAACCCTTGTCCACTTCTCTTCCTCTTGAACCAGCGCTTTTGCTCATTACCATGTTCACTGCCATGGAGTGCTAGCAAGGGGTCATTCGCTACACGGTGCTGACGATGTACATATACACACCAGCAAGGTTTTTTGTTTTGTTTTGCTTAGTTTTGTTGCAAAGTAGAATTATAAAAGCTATTTTTTTATGAATGAAATAAAGAGAAATGGGGCAGGATAATTGATAAATATGGAACAACTTATTGTGTATGAGAATGAAGGAGATGAAGGAAGAAAGGGAATAAGTGTGAGGTATGGGGTATGAGGTGTGAGGTGTGAGGTATGAAGAATGAATGTGAGGCGTGTGAAGTAAAAGAATTTGGAATTGAGATGACTTGTCGTCTCCTGATCGAAGCCTTTGTTGTAAACTCGTTCCTGTAACATTGTAATTACAGCCACAAAACCCTTGACAATTGAAAATTCAAATGACTTGGATATGTTGCTCTTCAACCCCTGCATCTCAATTTTTGGACTTTCAAAGAACTGGCACACTTTCTCCATCAGCCCTCTTCTGGCCCGGGAGAGGTGAGGGAACAAACTTCTTAACCTCCTCTCCAAAAAGATACTTTTTTTTTTCACATTTTTGTTGCACTTTTGTTGCACTCTCACGCTCAGTATCCATATCTTTTAATTGATTCAACAGACAAGTATCATCACGACATCGGATCTCAAATAAGCGATACAACAAGAGCTTCTTATAACGGATATATTATACCATTCTACAATTAAAGATGCCACTTCGACAGCTGTGATACTTCAAAAAAAAAAAAAAAAAAAAAAAAAAAAAAATACACAATGCATTCTAATATTTATTAACGAGAAATCATCTGTACCATCTCTCTCCGCTCTGCAGATTAGATCAACTAGGACATCAAGAACAAAAACTACACTGTATGCTGTAGGTGCGTTCCTTTGTAATCCAACAAGGACTATGATTTGATTGCAAGCGCATCAAAAGATGCTTTTTTTTTTTTTTTTTTTTTTTTTGGTTTTTGGTTTTCAACGGCCGACATGCGTGATCGATCAGAAATAAATGACAATAAATCTAAACATGCAGCAATGCAGCTCTTAAGAATCAAACAAGATACGGTAACCAGTATATACAGCCGACATTGCTGTTTTTCTTATTGCTGGTGTTGATGATATGATGAGCTGTGGAGCATGATTGCTGTGGCTGCTGTGGTTACAAGCTCTATTCATACAATCTAGACTTGCGTCTCCTACCCCACATCTGCAGAGTCGGTAGTTTAATGGGATTCCAGCCTTAAACCTCTAAAGATGTATGTATGACATAAAGATCGATCCATGAATTACGTGTTCAGGTTCCCTTGCTTTGCCTATCCAATTTTGCTAGATCATTGCTGCGGATGAAAATAGACAACGACAATAGTAAAGGTGTCCTATAGCCCATTCAGGTAATTGTATGCATTGCTCCATGCGCTCGATTCTCATTAGCAGCGTTTCGAGTCTGTGACAAATATTCCATAAGTTTATCATGCCATCGCAAGTCAGGCAGGTCTGTCAATGACTGTACGAATATAAGCGCTTTTATAAACTAACTACCATCACCATTGACCTACACTCAACAAGCTATTCTTAAGTTAGGATTACATCCCCACATGCAAGCGGCGTTCGTGCAGAAGAGGAAGTGTGGATGTTTGATATAGGTATAGGTGTAGACACCCCAATTTATGATGAACATTATTCTTCCATTTCGTCCACCCTCGCATCGAATCGCTTGCTTTTTCATCATTCAGCTTTTCGGGAAGGGGAAGTATAAATTATTAAACAGCGGTCATTAGGGGAAAAAAAAAAAAAAAAAAAAAAAAAAAAAAGTCATTATAAGTTCACGAAGTCTATGGTTATCTCAAGGGCATCTGCCTCCTTCTGTCAACTTGAGTACAGCCCCTTTGATAAATAATGTGGCGTCAGATCAAGTATTTATTCCTGAGGCTTGTGGTGCTGGGACTGAAGCTAGACCAAGAAGATTGCAGTCAAGAAAGACATATTAAATTTTTTTGCAAGTGCTCAAAAAAAAACTGGAACTGTTAAATAACAAAGTTCTATCAGATTCACAGATACATTTATAATTTCCTACTTAGCAGGATCAAGAATAATGATCAGTTTGCAGCGGTCATTCATCTTGATTAGAAATCTATATTAACTTCCTACCCTTATATTATGTACACCATTTGCGTTGTCGATGGATGGTGCTTGGAAAATATGAAAAAAATGTTAAAGCTTGGAAAAAGCAACAGTCCTCATCTAGTTTACGAACGCAACGGAATTATCAAATCTATACAAAAGATAAAAAAAAGCTTCGTTTTTTGCGTTTCCTCTGGTCAAGTTTAGGCTGAATAGTCGATCGATCGCGAAGCATAAAAAAAACCATTTAGTCTCTCCTGGAACGACGAAAGATGCGTGCAAAAGAAAAAAAAATGGCATGGTGCCATTCTGTTTCTTTTCAAGCACTCTGATCTTTCACTTTTAAAAAAAGTATCCTTGACCAGCCACAGTCATTTTTACATGCAAGTCAAAAAGTAGTTTTTGTTAGCAGGAGCCCTCTCCTCAACAAAACATAAATTCAATCAATAAATCTGGGAAGTTTGATTCAGGCCAAATATCTCGTTGGCCCAGGACGGGGGGGGTGTGTGAGCACAAGCATCAAAGGAAGTTCTCGATTTTCAGCTCGAGATTCCTGGCTTGGCCCTTTTAGATCTTTAATTCTGGGGGTTGGGGAGATGCACTTCCTCCAACTTTTGTATACTAATGCCATAATTAATTTTTTTTTTCACTCTCACTCATTGCTCTCCCTAAAAAGTAAAGTGTCGAAAGATAAAAAAAAAGCAATAGCCAAGTGGTATGCATCCAACGGCGCAGCAGAACGATAAAAAGACTAAAAGAAAAGTATCTACAATCCACAGGTCATTCATCATGTGATGAAGCTTGGAAAAAGAAAAAAAAAAAAAAAAAAAAAGAAAAAGAAAAAGAAAAAAAAGGCCAAAAAATCATTTTTTCATAAAAAAAAAAAAAAAAATGAAGAAAAAAAAATTGAAAGTGGTGGATCAAGTTGACAACAGCCATAAAGGAGAGGCTGGGCTGAAGTATTGATAGGTGGTGATGATAATAACAGAGGAAGTGACGAAAATTTTAAACTGCAAGCTCGATAATCAAAACACAAAAAAAGAACAAAACAGCACAAAAAACGAGGAAGGGTAAGAAAGTGTAGTTGAGCGCGAAACCAAAACTGATGTGCGCAAGGCGAGGGGCCCCTCCACCGTATTGAGATGGAGGAAGGCCATCGAGGTCCTCAAGGTGGCGGGAAACCACCTGACGATCTCCATCACTTGGGAAGGCTTACTCATTGGCATAGATAGCAATCGAGTTAGAGGCTGTCTGCCAGAATTTGCCATCAGCTGTCTCATTGGCCATAAGATTCAAGCTCGACGTCAGAAAAGATGTGACAGATGTGGATGGGAGCGAAGACGGATAGTAAGCCATGCTAGTGTCTTCTTCAGCTGCTGTCTGATGAGTATCCTTCTCTAAGTTGGAATCGGCTTGGTCATTCATGTCCGAACCTCGGCCCATGAAGGTACTACCAGCCTCGTTTGCCTGAAGAAATGATGCAATCAGGTCACTCTGCTGTTGAAAAGTAGGTAAGAAATCATTGGAGATAGCCTCTTTTGTAGGGGACAGGGGAGCGTGCTCAAAGTTGCTTTCATTCGACTTGGACTCAACAGAGATAGGCTGCGGTTGGAGCAAATTGAGCAACTGCTGCTCATGATCGAGAGTTGAGGCAGGAATGGAGGCATGCCCAAGTGGTTGCGCAAAACTCGACATCGCTTTTCCAGAATATTAAGGAATTTGTACATTTGACCAGGCCTCATATGTTCAACCAACATCTGAAAACGAGCGTCATCGAAAATAAGAGACTTTGGTGGCGTTGTGGGTGGAGTAGGAGTTGAGGTCTGGCTCAACATTGAGGCAGGAGCCGCGCTGAACATCAAGTTAGAGAAAGGTACACTACCCAAAGCAGTTGGAGGAAGCGAATAAAGACTCATTGGTGGCATGGTAGGAACCTCGGCATTAGTGAGAGGAGAGCATACAGAGCTATTTGACGAAAATGAGCCACCGTCACTTGTCAATAGAGGCGATTCGGATGAGAGAGACTGGAGTTCAGCTGATGAGGGTGAACCATTGGTATAAGGGGACTTGATACAAGCGGAGAATGTCGGACTTGACGAAGCAAATGTTTGAGACTGTACTACTGTGGAAGCATTTGCACTATCGTCAGTCCTATGATGTACACGCTGCTCATCTTGAGACTTGCCGCTCGATTCATACTTTCGGAGGTCGACAATGCTTTGACGCTTTGCTCTTGTCCTGTAGCTCCACGGGCGCGAGCGGCTGATTCAATTTCAACATCCATGTTTTTGGATGAGGACGTAATGAGAGAGGACGATAAAACCGAAGTATCCAACTTAGGTGCCAGAATGGCCCTATAAAGTGATGATTTTGGAGATGGGGTAAGAGTATAAGGGGCAGATGACTCGCGCTGTTGACCCTGACTTAAAGATGGCTTCTGGCGGACATAAGAGGACGATGACCGTTGTACTGTTTGTAATATAGTCCACAAGCATTGCACAATGAATGCTTGCGATCCAAAGTACGACGCCACAATGGCGTTTGGGTAACCTTGCAGTTGAAGCATTCGAGAGTACGAGGAGGCCGCGAGCTCTGCTTTTTTGTTTTCTGGGTTTTGGAACCTGCCTTTTGAAGTGCAGCTGCGAGGCTCCAAACATCATCTTTGGAACTGGAGTCCAAGTCTGCGGAAGAAACGTTATCGAGAGTGCTTGCACTGGTTTTGGGAGCCAAGATAGGAGACGAAGTTTTGGTCAAATCATATTCTCCGAAAGCATCCTCACCATTCTTGGTAGATGTTGTTTGCTGCTGTTTAGATGCTTGCTGTTGCTGGAGCTGGAGCTGTGCCTGCATCAAGAGCTTTTGCTGATACTGCTGTTGCTGGAACTGCTGCTGATGTTTAAGCAATTGTAAGCGAAAGTACTCTTGTTGCTCAGGTGTAGGTTGTAGATCATCATCATCATCTATGCTCGAGCGGATGGTCGATGGCCTCCATGACAATGTGCTTGACGAGAGGGTTGATGATTTGCTGGAGAGCGATGCTGATTGTTGAGTCTGACTCTGGAGCTCCTGAAGCTTTTGCAGAGCCTCCAACGTCTTGGCACCTGTGAGAGATGATGAAGAAAACGAATCAAAGGGTTAATAAATGGAACAAGTGAGACGCTGTGAGAAGATGGAGCTATGTCTGATATTACAAAGCTCCTAAAAGACTTTGACGTACCTGAGATATTTCGAAGAATAGTCGCTGCCAGATCTTGAATGGGAGCGTCTGGTTTTGTGACGGTATCACGCGAAGCAATGGTCTGGAGAATAAGCTTACGAGACTGGTTGAGCAAGTGTTGCTGGATCAGTTTCTCCGCATCGAGGGTAGTACGAGCCTTAGCACTGGGCGAGTCAATGTCCATATTAGTAGGCATGTCGGCCTCAGGTAAATGGATAATTGTAGAAAACTTCAGAAACTGGGTAATATCTATGACAGAAGCACGTAAAGAGAACGGCGTTAGTTGATGGTGGATTAGAAAGCAACTGAGTGGAGGTCACGTTATTTAGGGTTCAAGGTTAAATAGGTTAGAGGAGGAACATAAACAAAAAGCACGCCATCTCGGGACATATCGCAGCGGGCACAGTTGCACTGGCTGATTGCACATATTACCAATGATAATTAGGCAAAGCTCTGTGTTAATAAAAAAAAAAAAAAAAAAAAAAAATAGGAAGACACATAAACAAGCAAAGAGAGGAATATGGAAGAACGAGAAAAGAAAATAAAGAACAAGAGGGATATCAAATTTATTGCAGAAAAGATTTTTACCTTCGATCAGAAAGAGAAAGTTTGTATAAAAAAAAAAAAAAAAAAAAAAAAAAACTACAACCACTTAATGGATGAATTTGCGAGGAAAGCTGTCTGTGGGTATATATGTGGGTATATGTGCGCGTAGTGCGAGTGTGGAAGAATAGTTGCTGGTATAAATAGTAGAAAGTTTGGTCGAAGTGGGAAGAAAGAGAAGAAAGGAAGCGGCGTGTTGGTTCGATAAGAAGAGAAAGAGAGGAACAGAAAGAAAAAAAGGACGAACATTGTTCGTAGTACTTCAGCTACTCTTTATATAACCGCTCGGGTCAGACCTATGGCAATGCTCTCGACCATTTTTACCTGTCTGCTCAAATGTGATACAAAAAAAAAAAATCTGTAGCCATGATTGAATACAAATGAATAACAGATGGTTGGGGTCTGCTCTTGATTTGTCACCTTTCTAGAGTAGATTTTATTGTTTACAGATTGAAACGCATTGGGGCCATTCTTTTTTCTTTCCAATTGAGTTGTGTAAAAAGTGTAGACACAGAAAAAACTTTTACACAACGTGTGTAAGCAACTTGGTGACATAAAAATATAAAACACCTTTCATAACCCAGTGGTCGCACCAAAATATCGGTTCATTCTTAAGCTACCGTGTCCCCACTCAACATTATCATTTATGAAAGCTAACATGAAGATTCAAATGCATCATGTATCGATATTGCAGCTTTTTTATTTTATTTATATTATTCTTTTTTTTTATTTCAATTACCTTCGCGACTAAAGCCATCAAGATATCATCAATGCTGTTCTCTATGAATGATTAAAATGGCACCTAACCTCTGTTCTTGACTGACGCTGGCAAATTGGAGCATGTATATACATTAATTTAAAAAAATTTGCCGCACTTTTTTTGTTGTTGTTCAACAGGTCAGGGAACCAATTGAGTGAGTCCAGTCGCGGTAAAGAAAAAAGGGGTTGAACAGAATAACTCAAAAAGAGATGGCGGCAGCCAATCAGATCTCAGGAATACTAGAAAACGCGTCATTTCGACCATCGTTGCTTGGTTGCAAAAAATAATGCACGTAGTCACTCTAACAGGTTTCCATCTGTGCCTGTGCTCTCGTTATGTTCCGTCAAACATTGCGACTACATTCATCTCAACACGCCCAACTGAGCTATAATGGAACAGCTCTCTATAACATGTATCAATATAAAGCCCTATTCAATCAGTTGCAGGAAATTTCATGTGGCCTCTAGATGAATTCATAATGAGTGAAGTAATAAAGAAAAAAAACAGTGATACGCCAGAGTTCTTACCCGCTACCTTCTGCATTATACATGTACTATTACTTTCCTCAAAGAAAAAACGTCAATGTGTCGAGCACGCTGTCGTGCATAATATACTCCACGAGTATTTTTTATAATTCTGTTTAGACCTAGCAAGCTTTTGTTCAAATGTATCTCACTTTACCTTCTCCACCTCTTTGTGTCCCAAACATTGAGACATGATTTATGTGCATGGTGTCTCAATGATCCGACTTGAATAAAACTCAGTATGTATACATGTATATATCAAGAGCAAACATGACCCATGATTAACAAATTGCTCTCACCAAGCGTTTTGTTTTTGTATCACGTCTGTTCTAAAAAGAATTAACCTAGATGGTAAAATCGTGCTTGTTTACTTTTGATGCATGTTCCAGAAATTGTTTTTGGTAGCTTTTGATCTTTCATAATACGCATGCTCAATCTCATCTTCTATGGATGGTACAGTCAAGAGACCAAAGTAAGGCGGAAAGAGTACCATTAAGGTTGAAAATATCGTGACCCATAATGACTGAAACAAATAGATAGCCCTATTGTGAAGCCCTTTGCTCTTTTTATTTGCCCTGTTTTGAAGAACTATAAAAATGGTGGCATTTAGTTTTGATTAGTATTTGCAACAGACATTCACTTTATTAGGGGCCTCGCTGCACCCTTACCAGTCAATGCCTCCAATATCCCTGCTACATGATAGACAAGGGATGAACGCACGTCCATAGATAACACGGCCATAGAAAACACGGCCATAGAAGTGGAGATTATCTTGTGTGGCTGTTAATAAACACGTGCTGCTTGTTATTACAATAAGGGATGACAAGAGATGTAGTGAAGTAGTGAAAGCCATCTTCATCCGCTATTGCATGACTGAGTCAGAAACATTGTCAGATGGAGGAAGTGAGAGACCCGTAGGAGTCGTGTAATTGCTGGCATGACATCCAGAGCTTATTGAGCTCTGTGGAATAAAGAACCAGAGCCACTGTATCACAATATATACAAAAGCTATCCGGATTAAAAGGTCTTGCACGAAGAAAGCAAAGCAAATCTAATGCACGCTAGTAGACTTTTTTACGTGACCGAGTATCTATGATGTGTTGCTAGGTATCATCCACTCGTCTAGATACCTTGGCCATCAAATTCCTGAGCAAACTCAGACCATTCCCTTCATAAGACCTTAGCGACATACTCGTTCTTATCCTTTTAAGGAACATGATTAAGACTCAAAACGACAACTTTTACTCTTTATCCGACGCAGTATCTATGCTCCATGTAACTCTGGTCATCTATAAGGATCCGGTTGCACTTGACTATTAAACAATCCTTACTCTGACTCAATTGAAAGCCGAGAGTATTAAACCTTTTCCTTTAACAACCCATTCCCAATCGCGTAGGCTATCTGAATTTCGGCCATTATCTACTTGACTACCATTCAAAGGTAGTTGAGAATACTTGAGGAAAAAAAAAAAAAAAAAAAAAAAAAAAAACTTTTTCCACAAACCTTTCAAAAATAGTTCGTCAAAAATAGAAATATAAACCTCGCTTAGGAATCATAGCACCCGATTGTTGTGCTTGTATACTATGGCCCTCCAGTGCAAAGTACCTTTTTCATACGCCACTTAACTATTCCAGCCCCTTAGTTATCAATCTTCTACAGCTTTTTTTATTTTTTTACTTCTCGCTACCTTTATTATTGCGAGACAAAGGGAGCTGAAGATTGCTGTGGAATTGACAGCAACCTCCGGAGAAAAAACCAATTGGCCAAAAATTAAAAAAACGATGAAAATTAAAATGCCGGTATGCAGATCCAATAGGAAAATAGTCCAGCTGGAAAAACCGGCACACTTGTGTCCTTCGGTTGCAAGTCTTCCGGTTGTCTTGGGGTGATCAGTTTCTCTATCATAATAATCGAATATATATTTTCTTCAGATCTCTTCTCTCTTTTGATCTCTTTCCCCGTAATTCTTTTTCTCTTTTTCTCTTCTCTTCTCTCTTCTCTCTCCATTTTTTTTTTTTTTTCTTCATCATTCATTTATAATCCAGCCTTGACATTTGTTCTTCGCTTCCTAATCATTCCTTCCCAGTCTTTTTCATACGCATCGCACATTCTCAACATGATGTCAACAGATCAAATCACACCATTCCAGGTGCTTTGGAAGAGTCGACCTCATTTATTACAACCAACAATTTCGCTGCGCTGGATTGAAGGCACAACCGAATGTAGACACATTGAATCTCTCTTTCTTCTTGTCGATGGACGCACGCGATGCACACTTGAAGCAACTCCTCAAAGTTTTCCCACATCTCAAAGATAAAAGCAGAGTTGTTCGCTATGCAAACATTAAAATGGATCAGCATTATCCCGAAAACTACAGACACGTCGCTGATGCTCGCAGCAGACGCGGAACGCGCCCTCATTTTGGTCAGTTGCTCCGTGTGGAGACAAGGTTCGTCAATATGGGCAATACCAGTGTCAAGTTCCAGCACCGTTTCTTGACTGTGCCTCAGTCGCAAGCCAGTCGTGACTTCAATAACAGGGATGAGGACATACTGTATACTGAGCTAAAGGAAGGTGATGAGCCCGAGAGACTGATTGCTAGCGCAGAAGGGGCTCTTGTTTTTATCAAGTGGCAGGAAGATGATAAAGGCCACCGCTTCTTCAAACCCACACAAGGTGTCTTTCATAATCTTGACCTAGCTGCTCCAAAAGTAATTCACTTTCTGAGGGAGACTGCTCCTGAAAGGCGGCCATCTGGTTCTGCACGCCCCAAGAATGCCTTTCGTGTACAGATTCATCTTCGCAAGTCGGATGAAGACGAATTAGGCCATGTCACCAATTCTCGTTACGTATCATTAATCCATGATGTTTTGACGTTTGGACTTCGCACCGGATACTACGCTAATGGAGCAGGGATTTCTCAAACGCCCAACGACCTACACGTCATTCCATCACATTCAGGAACAAATGAGTCAGACATCGCAGTACCCGCAGGATCAATGTTCTATAAACGAGGAACTATCTATGAGCTCTATGTTGGGTACGAGCGAGAATTAAAGGTCAAACCAGGAGTCTATGTTTGGAGCTGGGTGGAGCAAGATAAAATCCAGGATGAGTATGATGTGATACGGTTTGAGATTTGTTCGACCGAGGATGACGGCCAGGAGCAAGTAGTGTCTTTGTCGCGCGCCATCGTAAAAGAGGATACCACCACACGCCCATCGCTCTAATAAGACTAACTGAATAGACAGCATTTTGATGTACAACTTGTACACTTTAGATTGATTATATTTTCCATTAGGCATATTTAAATAGACATTAATAAAGTTATATATTTTAATTCAGCATGTGAAGTAAAGGGAACCGTATAAATTTGTTACTATCCAAAAGTAAGCGGTACTTTGGGTCGAAACTTTGGATGTCTTGCTTGAGATATCACGGAAAGACTATGTGGACTAATCAGTCTCATCTGTAAGAAAACTGACAACGTCTAAAAACTAAAATCACGTTGGATAACGCAGTAGAAAAAAGGACTGTGATAGTCTATCGCTGATGATACTGACGGCAGACTCGACTAGCAAGTTGAATACTTGAAAGGTTTGAAAAACTTCGCTTCTGGGAGTCGCATCCATCAACACTCTCGGTTCTACTTGTAATAACCACATCTTCAATTAAAAAACTTTTTGAGCTTTATCTGCAGAAAATAAAAATTAGGGCCAGATTGCGCCATTAAGGGTCAGGAATCCACTTGTTTATTGCTTTCTTTTTTGTGAGTAACATGAATCTGTTTGTTGACGGTTTCTTGGACCTTCATCGATTGCTCTTCAACATCGCCAACATTCGGCACAGGACAATAAGAGACAGGAGCTGTAAATACATTGGCTACAATCCTATTCAACAATAGCATTCCCTAATCAGCCATGGCGGAGAATTTCGACGTCGTTACAACATACAAGAGCTTATTGCTTAACTCACCTGTACGGAAGGTTTTATTAACTTGTCTGTTTTCCCTTCACAGAACACTTGGCAACGAATAACTTCATTTCAATACCTGCTGATATGGATTCGCGTTCCCCCATATGGTTTTTAGGAGCTTTCCATGCCAGTGGCAGCTATTCAGTCCTTAGTTGAACTCATCAAGCATTCGAAAGGCAAGCTCTCTTGGTTTTGTCTTGCATGACTTTCGTTAGCATTAATATATTTACATTATCTTCACGTTGCTTTCGGGAAAATCTTCGCCAACTCTTATTCCCTATCCAACAGCCACAACCATGTCTGAGTTCATGCTTTCAATAAAGGATGCAAGCCAGCAGCTCAAGTCATCTGTCCGCAATTCGATATCGCTTTCGGCAGGTTGCGATCTATTTTTACGATTCGTGACCAGAAAACTCACAAGATGTAGCAGACTTTGAGATCTGGAAAAAGACGCTCATTATACGTGGTCAGAGCTTTGTAGAGAAGGCTGATGCGTGTCGTTACAAGATTGCAGATTTAGGCGTGCCTTTTATTAAGGATGGAAGCGTGGTCTTGATCCATGCCCATTCGCGCGTGGTTTCCCTGTTATTGCAGAAGGCTGCAGAGAACCACAAACGATTTAAGGTGTTTGTCACAGAGTCAAGTCAGACACAAGGAGGGTAGGCTAAAAAAAAAAAAAAAAAAAAAAAAAAAAAAGGCGTGGATTGTTGTGGTGGCGCTGCTTTTTCTTATACTATGACTCATTTATTGTATGTGCGTTTGTACAACGGCTTTCCCTGTAGTATCCGATCTGCTAAAGTCCTTCGTGCTGCAGGAATCCCTACAACTATCATCTTGGATGCTGCTGTCGGATATGTGATTGACAAGGTTGACATGGTTCTTGTCGGTGCTGAGGGGTTGTGGAAAATGGAGGTTTAATCAATCAGATTGGATCATACCAAATGGCAATTGTGGCCAAAGCTGCCAATAAACCTTTTTATGCCGTTGCAGAAAGGTATTCATATGGCTGCCATGTACAATCAAAGGCATTTTACTATTTTATCTTACAGTTTCGCAAAGTACATTGTGACTCTTGAATTAATTTTATCTATTGGTTTCCCTTTCGTTTTTCTAGCTACAAGTTTGTGCGTCTATTCCCTTTGAATCAATATGATCTCCCCACTTATAACGCGGACACGCTATCATTCCAAGAATTAAATGTCGACCAAAGTTCTCTGACAAAGGAGGATGGCACCATCCCCGCGGTATCAACATCTTCCACAGGTTCAGCGCCATCACAGACAGCGTTGCATATGAAGACATCTGAAGACAGAGCTTCACAGGGCTCGAACCCGTTAGTAGATTACACACCTCCTAGCTATATCACATTGCTTTTCACGGATCTGGGCGTCCTCACACCTTCTGGCGTTTCAGATGAGCTCATCAAATTGTACTTGTAAAGAAACAGCTGTTACTGAGTAAAGATCAAGGCATTGTTAATTCATTGAACAAACAAACAAACAAATAACAGAGAACACGTAATAGTCCTGACATTCCAAATGCTGACTCAAAATTTAATGCATACTTGAGAGAGGCTGTGCGTGCATGTGTATGCTTATGACAGATCAACTTGGGTGTCTGTAAGCCCTACTTTGCTTGGCTTCGTCGTCCTCTTGCATAATTTATCAAATCGTGTAAATGGAAAAAAACAGATGGGTCATGTACATGTTCTTCTGCAAAAACATTACTTTGCGTTGGTTGAGAAAACATGAAGGGGTAGCTCTGGAGGATGACCTAGAGGAGAAGACCAAGAACAGGGATAGTCTTGAGCTACAATCGATAGGAGTCTAGATCTAATAAGTGATGGTGCCACACGTTTTTCCAGAACTTTGGTGTGTAAAGCTGATCAGAGGAGATCAGACGCGTTCTTTGTTTTCTGATGTGGCGACTAAAGGGATCTGTACGAAAAGATTTTTGACAAACGCTGTGATATGCAAGAAAAAACAAGAAAGGCATGTCATGAGAATGCCAACCAGAATTTGCTCACCATTAATGTAGATTTGCGCCTTCAGAGAGTGTGGCGGGGCGAGATGAGAATAATGGTGCATCTATCGCTTCTTTTATGTCATAGATGAGCATCTCAGAAGAAGGTAAAAACGGATACGTTTCTGCTCCGAGTACCACTACCCTTCCCCACATATGCCTTGGTAAAGAAAGGAAAGAAAGCAAGAGACAGAGATAGCTGGGCCAGAATCGTCTATTGGAAAGAAATATCACAGCTCAATTTACACATGTGTGCATATTCATATTCACATAAACGAATTTCCACAAGGGCCGTTACTAAGAGGCAAATGCTTATCAGTGAATATTGGATACACCAATTCAAAATTCAAAATATGCATGTCAAAAGCCCCACGTTCGGATGGTCTGTGTATTTTGTGTTTGTCGTCCATGTAAAAGTGCACAACATTCACAAGAAAAAAAAAAACGAGGGAAAGAACATCCATCTTTGTGAACACAAACGGCATATCAAATCTAGACAGAGAAAAGAGGCGAAGACGAATAAATGAAATGGAAAGGACTTAAGAAATTGACTATTAAAGTGGAGCATCAATGATAATGCTAATGCAGCCATCATCACCATCCATGTCATCCTACATTTTTTTTTTTTTTTTTTTTTTTTTGAGTATCGATCATAATGCCTCGCCTCTTTGTTCCTCTCATTTGTTATTGATCCAACGCCAAAAGACGGAGTTCAGGGGTTGTGCAAAAAAAAAAAAAAAAAAAAAAGAAACAAAACAAAACCAAAAAGGGGAGGATTTTTTGCACCGCTCACTGACTGCATACCTTACTCTGATCAAACTCCTTCTCATGATCATTGAGGGATTGAAAATGAAGATGTAAATGAGGAAAGAGAATGGCTATTGTAAATAGGTGGCAATAATGAAGACGATGCTCCAGTAGTGAAAGTAATAGAAGTAATAGCTTATAATTAATAATTAGTTAGTAGTTAGTAGTTAGTAGTTAGTGGTTCGTAATTAATAATTAGTAATTAGGTATTAACAATAAAAATATACACATTCTTGTTGGCGATTTGATTTGCATGGTGTATATCGCAACCATTGAATGTCCACAAAAACGTGTAGTGAGGAAGCACACCATGCGACCAACCTCATTGACAAACCATGCAAACCATGCAACCATGTCGAATCATGCAACGCCTTTTTTTTTTTGTCTTTTTTTCTTTTCTTTGTCAGAGTAAGAGAGAAGCCATTGGTTTTTCTTTTTGTTTCTCAGTCTCAACTGTTGTTTGAAAAGTCATTCCTAACCATTGCTCTGTTGTTTCCTGATCTTAATTTTTACCAAAATATAAAAGATTTTTTTTTTAAGGAGCAACTGCTGACCTGTTTCGACTAGTGGCTACTTGCACCCTAACACTACCCAACCTAAACCCAAGAAGAGCACAAAGCACCTTGTGCCTGTGCATGCACCTACTACTTACCCCTTCCCCCCATTCAAACTATACCCATCCAGTATACACCATTGGATTTGGATTCGACACCATTCAATACCTTCTGGTTTACATACAATCTACCAAAGTATCTCTCTCCATCCTGTCTTTTCTCTGCTCTTTTCTTCTGCTTTCTTTCTTTCTTTCTTTTTTTCTTTCTTTCTCTTCCTCTCTCCTTCCCCTTTGCTTTTTACTCCCCTCACTTCCATCCCTCCTTCCTTATCCCAAGCATTTACTAACACCATCCTTGTACTTTTCTTGCTCCTTCCTTGCCCACTTCCTGGGCGTATTTAATCATTCTCTCTCCCCTTCACTTCCTTCCCCTTTTCCTTTTTATCCCTACATCTCCTTGTTCCTGCCTTTTTTTTTATTTTTTTCTTTATTTTTTTTCTTATTTTTTTCCCTTCTCAGCTCACTTCCGTCAGTGCAGGGTGATTTGCATAGATTACTTTATTTTTTTTCTTGTTCTTGCTCACTTGCAGTTTGTGAGGTCAGTTTTGTCAGCCAGCTCTTGTTAACTGAGCACGCACCGGAAACGAGAGCAGTACAGCACAATAAAAAAAAAACAGATATAAAAAAAAGAGAGACAAGAGGTGTCCTATCAACTTCTCTAACAGTACGATTCAAGGACGCGACGAAAAAAAATAAAAAAAAGAAAAAAGAAAAAAAGAAAAAAGAAAAAGAGTATATTCATCCGGCGAAAGAGCAAAAGAAAAGATGAATTCCGCCTCTTCCTATGCGTTTCTTCCGTATCCGTCAACCTCGCAGGTGACCTCGCCAGGATTACAGCACCAGAATCAACCTCAACAGTCGCAACAACCACAACAACCACAGCAGAAACAGCAACAGCAACAGCAACAGCATCCACTTGGTCCAGTGACCACTCAACAACAACAGCAACAGCAGCAGCAACCTCAACAACCTCAGCAGTCGCAACAATCGCAACAACAACAGCAGCAGCAACAACAGCAGCAAGACTTGACACAGGATCTTTCTGCCCCTCCGACCCCGCTGTCATTGCATCCCTCATTGCAAACTTCTTCTGCAGGTGTCTCCGTTTCTGGGTCCCTGGCAGCATCGCCAGTCAGTGTTAGTAACAACACACTCAGCAACGCTTCAGGTCCCACGCTTGCAAGCCATGGACATCCAACCATCAACACTGCTATACTCACAAGCTATGGCAATATGTTGCCATCACCGCAATCCTCTCAAGTCCCTTCTACCCCTACCACTGCTACATTGCTCCCTTCAACTCCACCACCACACACTGCGGATCTAGATTCAATTCTAGCAACCTATGCGAATCAGCCCGAGTTGCTTAAGCTTATTATTGCCTCTAAAACAGAGGAAGACCGGCGCTGGGCTGAGGAGGCTCGATTCAAGATGATGGATCTGATCATGAGAGGCGAGAATCGAAATCTCATCACAGGCTATGAAGGATTGCTTGGTCAAGTTGTTCCAGGCCCAACTGCAGGGACACCCACATCAACCATCCCTACTGGTAACATGGGGACCAGCCCTACAACAAGTACTGTAGCTACAAGCACTATAACCACGAGCACTGCTACCATCCCTACTACTACAACTACAACTTCTAGCGCCTTAGGCCTGGCAGTTTCTGGAAAACGTTTTATGGATAATGCGTTTGATTCGCATTCTGGAGCAGCAAACTCAGGAAATGGGAGTGGAGGGAGCAATGGCTTCGCTCAAGGAGCAGATCTGGCTCTTGCCCGTAAGAGATCTGTTACTTTTGCCAGAGATGTACACCATGGTCATCTGCGCTCACAATCCATGTCCTCGGTACCATCACTCTCCAGCACAGGATCGACTATAACCGCTTCCGCTGATCAGTTTGGTACGCTATCAATGATGGGCTTGACCGGACCCAACACAGCTCTTCAGCAACAGCAACAGCATCACCCTCACCAAATACCATCGCACCCCTCACTGAATCAGTTGGCACCATTCACATTGCAGCAACCATTCCAGCAACAGCATTTTCAGCAGCACCAGAGTCAGCAATCGAACCAGATGCAGCAGGTAGCCCACCAGCAGCTGCCACCACACTTTGGCCAATACCCACAACCTTTTCCATATCATACTATGTCTCAGTTTCAACCTCAAAACGTTATTCGTAGAACAAGTTCGCTCTCACACCTCTCACACTTTGCTCAGAATCCACACGCAACAGTGACCGAACCTCGCCTAGCCGCAAGTCGACCAAGGAATGACAGTGCTTCTTCGTTCAGAACACTAGATGACAGTGGTATGTGAAGATGTTTTATTGATATTGACTTTACAAGTAGTGAGCAATTGCCCATATTCATATATATACTGGCCGCCTACTGACTGTTCTTTTTTTTTTTTTTTTTTCCCTCCTATTGATTACCAACAATCATACAAAAAAAAAAAAAAAAAAAAAAAAAGATGACGAATCGGATGATGGTTATAACGACCATCCAGTTTTGGGTGGTATGGATGGATAGTCGACCAGGGTCATCTTTAGTATGCACAACATGATGGGTGGCAATGGGAGACGTCACTCACCTTGGACTTTTCGGACATGGCTACTGTCTCTGGAAATGGGCCATATACATCTCAGCCACCGCAACAAGGCAGTCAGCATAACCAGCCAGGCACTTCTTCATCGATCCTTTCATCCCTTCATGGGACAGGCTCCGTAGTTTCTATGGGTATTTCCGGGCTAGGGCATGGTACCACTGTACGAAATGTGCCAACTAGCGCAGCAGGATTAAGTGGCTCAACTACGTCAGCCGCGGTATCAGCAGCAGATCAAAAGAGAAAACGTAAACGTCGAGAAATGCAGCCTGTTAACAAGATTGTCGAGTCACCTGATCCTCATATAGATCAATATCTGTGGAAGAACAATGGAAACACACTCAGAAGAAAGACTGGGTGTAAAAGTATTTATTACAAATGTTCTAACAGCGCTGGAGGATGCACGGTAAGAAGTTTGAAATAATGGATTTTTTCACGGTATCCCTATCGCTACATCGGTCGCTTGGGGTTTATCCTAACCTTGCCATTTCATTTTGCTATTTAACATTTACAATGCCCTTAGGTCAACAAAACTGTAAAGAAAAAGAAAGCGGCGGGTACATTACAAAGTAAGAGGCGAACATCTGGAGGACTGCATCAAATTCAAACGTGCTCAGATGGCGGCCCAGGCGGCTCAGAATGCATACAGCCTCCAACGCGAGCAGTAGACTAAAGAAATTTTTTTTTTTTCAAATATTATTATTATATGTTTATTTATTGTTAATTTTTGATGACCGATGATGATCAGTTCTATTCATTTTCCTGCCTCAGACTCTGCCGCAGCTTCTTCAGACGCCTTGTAGATCTCCTTATAGTTGACTTTGTATCCCTTCTTTGCTGCATTTGCTTCATCCATTGCGACTCTTTCCTCCCCTATAAAAAAAAGAAAAAAAAATCAATGACTGTATAATTTCTTTTACAAATTCGCCACATGTCTCATTCTTTCTTGTAAGAACTTCCTTACAGGATATTTCTGTGGTTTGGTTGGGATAGTACTTGAAGGCACGCTTGTTCCCGACGGCGAAGGTAAATGTCGTTCTTCGTTAAGGCATAGAAACTGAAGCCAGCTTTTTTTATGCATTAGTGGTTAAATACTGTATAAACATGTGCTGGAGATGTACATAAAGATTAAGGATGAACCCTTTTACTTACTGACTGTTAAACCAGCCCTAATTACCAATATATTCAATAAAAAAAAAAATATAATAATAATAAAAAAAGGTGCAAAGTTATATGGCAGGCTCAGTGAAGAACAGGCATCTCGAAAATTTCAAATCAAGGCTAAATCAAGTTTTAAAATGACATTTCATCATTCTTTACCAGGTAAGCATAATATGTGAAGGTTTATTCAAGTTAAGTTTAAACATGGTTTATATGATGTTCATGTAAGAATGAATGAATCAAGAAAAAGAATGCATGGTGTGTGTATGGAAGGAGCGGAAGAAAGGTTGAAAATGACTGCTTTTCTTATGTCGTTCTCTATGCCTTTGATGTTGATCCTTGGTCCTCGCCGTCATCGTCCGATTCCTCCTCGTTATCGTCATTATCGTCCTCTTCTTGAAGTTCCTCGTCGGGCTCTGTGTTGATCAACATCCAGGCCACAACCTTCTCACGTTCTTGGATCTCTGCCTCCACCATAGCGGTGTGTCCAGCTGCATTCTTTAGCTATTAAACAAAAAAAAAAAAGAGAAATATCAGGGAATAGAAAGTAAAGAGTAAGTTAAAAAAAAAAAAAAAAAAAAAAAAAGCAAATGAATGTGCATTAATATATGTGTGGACGGCGATCCATAGGATATCTGCAAAGCTATATTAGAAATCGGTAACACCAATACCTTGTAGTCAGCCTTTCCTTTGCTGACTAAAGCCTCGACAACCTTGACATGACCATTAGTGGCAGCCCAGTGTAAAGCAGTGTTTCCTTGTTCATTCTGAATATTGATAGCCTCCGGCGATATAATAGATATGAGATACTCGACTATATCTACTCATTACATGAAATCGAATACTACTGTAAGCCCTCTTTGTTCACAAATGAAGAATAATGGGTCCCTCCTCCGTTTCCTTGATGTCCGCAATTTCAAGTCACGTCCTTTTTTGGTATTTATTTGACATGGTCACTGATCATAACCTCTTTTATGGTGGTTGTTTTCTCCTCGAGTCTTCAAGCAGGAAGATAAAATTCATCCTGCTATTATATTTCCAGTGCTTCCTCGCTTACCAATATGTCCATTAGCAGCTGCCATGTGGAGGGGGGTCTTTCCATATTCGCTTTGTTGAGACAAAACGGTCTTGGCCTTCTCTGGTCCTAATGACTTGACCATGCCCTGAATCTCTTCCAGTTCGCCGTAACGAGCGCATTCAATCAGTTCCTCTAAACTCTCGGCATCTTCGACTGACAGCTTTGACATGGGTTGTATTAGCTGTTGCTCTGTTGTCATGATTTGTGGCAATGGCTTTAATGAAAATAAATGGCTACTGAAAAAGAAAAAAAAAAAAAAAAAAAGCTTTTCTACATTTAAGACAACAATTCCACGTGATAGTTATTTGCCACCAATCAACTATCCCTTAAACCGTCAACCTGGCAAATTTGCCATTATAAATGGGCTTAAAATCCAGCAATTCATGGGCATTGCCTTGAAAATTTATTTCGATGTCGAAATAAATGACCGAAAACTAAACTGTCATGGAGCTATCCTGGCTTCTTTATCTGTGCCAATAAAAAACTCTTGAAGGCTTTCGCATGACACTAGCATCCTCTTGGGGGCCATTGTGTTGTTTATTTATTGACTGGTGTAATAGAAGTGATAATATTTGCCATAGTATCGACTTGAAAGGAGGGCAATCTGAGTTGATTCATTCTACCGCACCATAGAGCTTGCTCGGCAAGACTTGATTGTCACATCATTTGCTTCTTCGTCTTCTGTGTTCCCTGGGTTGGTAAACACTGCTAATAGAGTTTGTTGGGCTTGTTGAAACCAGAGGGAACCACAGCAACATATCAACCCAAGATGATACAAATATCTCTGTTGGAGTGAGTGCTGAACTGTGTGGTTCAGATGTAGTGGACATAAACGGCGAAAGGATGCATCGAAAGGATGTGAGCGGTTTATGAGAGCAAGGAAGAAGGGGTTGGTATACCTGTTAAAGTCCTTGGCAAGAGAGCATGAGTAGTAGTTGTGATCAAAAGTTGATTTCGGTGAGTCCGCATAACAATGGTATAGTTTCTAGACCCTATCTTCCACGTACAGCATTGCATTATTGGTGTTTTCAGACCTGGCACTAATCATGCGAGGTATTTCTTTTTCTGAGGATTCCTTGTGTTAAACGGCCAGACAGAAAGCTTAAAAGACATACAGACACAACGGTGAAAAAAATGTATGTGAGCAAACAGTTGCTGTGTTTATTTGTTGTCTGCACATGCCTTCTTTCATCGCGGGCTTTTTTTTTTCCTTTTTTGTTCGTCAATCACTGTGTGCACGAATAAGCAGCTGAAGCATCTCCTTGGTTTCTGTACATGTGTAGACACATTTTACATCGCGGCGTCTTATTTATTTTCTGCAATTCCAAAACACAAAACACAAGCTTTTTCCATTGGTGCCTCCAGAAGAAATAAACAAACTTTATTTTGGTGGCCACTCCACAATCATGCCATGGTTATAACAATCCCTAGGAAAGGATGAAACGCGTCGGTATTAATCTCGCTTCTGTAATTCTAAATGCATATATTTTGGCGATTGGTATCAACTATCAAGTTCGCACATACACACACCAAACGACCGCCAAAAACCACCACTCTCGCTTCTGCTCTCCATCCATCCACAAGGCGCTGCGCAATATCACCATTAACAAGGCACCGTCCAGTAAGAAAGGGTGCTTAGCTAGCTTTTACTCCAAGCAATAAGCACATCACCTATCTCCGCCATTGATGCCGGAACCTGAGAGCCAACGAATATCTCTGCTTTAACGCAATAGTACTGGGGCTGTTGGAGCAAAGAACGACATCTGAACCCATTCTCTGATAAAAAAGACTTTTTTTTTCTTTAGTTTGTTACCTTTGACAAGGATATAATCATCAAGTCATATCTGTCAATGCATTTATTACCCCTGTTCAAAATTATAAATCTTCTTTTACTCATTAAATTCCTCACAAAGCACAAAGCAAGGGCCAGTGCAAACAAAAGAAACTGAAAAAAAAAAAAAAAAAAAAAAAAAAAATTGTATGGACGCTTTGGAGAACAATATGAGCACCTTCGAGAGAAATTCTCGGAGTGGGGTATGGACTCGTCCTCAAGTCATGAGGCGCATCCAGAAGGGTCTTCGAGAAGTCCACACCCTGAGCGTCCAGGACAAGGATCAGCTGGCAACAGGCCTTAGTTCTGTCTTCGATGTTGTCTGTGTGCATATGAAGCGGACCCATGCATAGGGTGCCATGATGAGGAGAATGATAGGATCGTGATATCCCAAGACTCTGATTTTTTTGCGTACGAACGAGTCTGCTTCCTAGTGCGACCCCTTCCGCACCGTAGACGGAAGTTTGGGTTTACGACGTAGACAACGTTATCCAAGCACTAAGACTGCCATCACACGCGCATCTGGTGTTATTCTGTGCCATCGCAGGCAATGACTACTCAAGGAACCTCGAGACGTTAGGCCCGATTATAATCTTCGATTAATTCGAAAGGTTGCGTGGAACGAGAACTATAATAAAATGCTTCGGGGCTACCTAAGGGAAGCTAGCAAGGTGTTGGGAAGGAACGTAGCCTCTGAGGAAGGCCGTTTCAGTGTAGCTCTCCCGCATTTTTATTTCCGGCCACCAAACGTCGGCCCAAGCGTTACCATCGAACAATGGGTTCGATAACTTCAAGCAGCGTCTACTCAATGGAAAGGATCTTTGCCATAGAATGGCTCAGCAAAGGCGGGTGCAGCGCCGCAGAACGTAAGAAAGCTCAAGCTATAGTTTTTGGCCTTGAAACCAGACGTCCCCAATACTAATCGTTAGTCCTTTCTTGAATAATGTAGAGGCGTACCATCATTCTATATAGCGGAAGGGTCACATAGGAACCAGTTCCGGCCCATCTTTTCTGACAAGCCGAGCATATTGAATGGGCGCACAGTTGATATCAGTAAACTGCCGTCAGCACGATAGGCCGGGCCTTAAGCATCCACCAACGTCGGAGAAAGGCAAAAAAGAAGCAACAGAAAAAACAAAAGCGGAAGCACAAAGGCAAGAAGCCCCACAGGGGCTAAAAAAGAAGGTGCACCAATTAGGAACTTGAAGGATGCTACGAAGGTTGATCACAGCTACAGCAGTAAGCACCCTATCAAGGCCTTAACAATTGGGTCCCTTAAGGCCTCCATGGCAAGGAAAGGCGGACTGGACGCAGATGAAAGGGATAGTATTGCAAGCCAGATCCGAGGGGCAGTTGTTGTCCTCAACCGACTACGCCGCTATGCATACTGGGCGATTGCCTTGGACATTGAGAGGATCATGCGGTTACCAGGGGCAGCAAAGTCGAGGAAAAAGGCACTGGACGAGGTCTTAGATAGCAATGATTATTCCTTCCGTCTCGCCACCCTTCTTTTGAGTGGTCAAGGTGGCCCCAATTCAGCTTACGCGAGGGCAAAAAAACAAGGAAAGGCGGTAGAGACGCCCCACCATCACCTCGCTTATGAACATTTCAAGGCCACCACTGAACTTTCCCCAATAAAGGAAATAGACATCACATTGGGGGACGTCCAAGGCTTTGATCCCAAAAAGATCACATTTCCAAGAGCGTCAGACCTACTAATGGGCCAAGTACAGACATCATTAAGGCAGCACTACAGGAACGCAATGGTATAGCTTGTGTAGGGGTATTTTCATGCATATTCTGCAATCAAATGCTCTTTATTCACACCTTTTTTTTTTTTTTTTTTTTTTTCTAGTTTGATGTCGAGAAAACAAACGAAGATATGAGCGACATCGAGTTTTTTTTGCGGGAGAACAAAAAAGTGAAAAAATACTCAGACTTTCCTACGTCCCCCTGGTCATCCGGGTATGTGTATTTGTCTGAACACGCCCTAGTTGACATCCTCTGGGCGAACGAAGATACCAAGCAGCTGTTGGAGCGTATTCTGCCTCTCAATAATCCTTCCAAGACTGCAATGTATGAGTGTGTACAGGGAACAAAAGGGGTTTTGATACAGGCTCTCTTTTGTGACATTGGAGGTGATCGCATGGTTCGTGGATATCAAGACAAAGTATCCCTGCAGTCACAGGACAAAGATCTAACTCGGTTCAAACTCAAAGGAACGATTTCTACCAACGGTCTAGTTCTGAATCTACTTGCCTATGACACAACCCAGACGAAGAGACAGCAGCAGTCTGACGTAGATGAAGAAGGCCCCAGCCAAAAACTGGAGCTTTCTCAGGGATTTCTCAACACGACGTGCTCAAAGGCGGCCGGTGAAGACCTAACAGATGAAGACTACGCAAACATAAACTGGAAGAGGAGCTCCAAGCTGCTTGAAAACGTTGAGCTCACATTCAACAAACCAGGGCGATGCCCATCCGCAAACACCACAACTATCGTCGGATGTGATCCTGGTATTGTTAATGCCCTTACGTTTTCCTCGCTGGACCCTCACAACCCTAACTTGCGGCAAACGGTAAAGGTGAGAAGCAGGTTCTTGTACCTCCCTGTCCTCCGCTTCAATTACCTGTAGAACAAAAGGAAGCGTGAAAAAGCAATGATTGAGGTTGAGAGCGCCATCCCTGTGTTTGGAAGGGATACGTATAATGAGTACTTTCAATGGATGAACGGGGAGTCTCAGACACAGACAGGATCAACGAATTTGGATGTGCTTCAAGAGTTCTACGAATCCAGATGGCATCTGAAAAAAAAATGGGACCTACGAAAGGCTCAACGAGCTACGTTCGACTACGCGGTACAGCGAGTGTTGAAGATGCTTGGGGATAAAGGAGTGCTTGTCGTCGGCCTAGGGTCCTTTGAAAGTAGTAAAGGAGTTCCCAGCAAGCACACTGCTATAACGAGACATCTTGTCACACAGGTATGGCTTTTTTTTAAAAAAGTAAGAAAAGCTGGAAAGCCATAGAACCCTTGCTAATAAACGACTGCCATTTGAAACACTTAGGTCAAAGCGCGAGGACACTTCGCTGTAGGAGCGCACGAATTTTACACCAGCGCCCGCTGTCCCCGACCCCTCTGCGATAGCTTTTTAGAGACGGTGTACCCTCGCTCTAAATATTGCGGACATGTAAGGTATTCTTCGACCGTGACGCAGTAGGGGCGGAAAACATCGCAAGAATCGGTCTTGCTCAAATTGAGAGACAAGAGAGCCTGCAAAGTACAAGCCCACGGAAGAGTCGCCTGCTCCGGCTGCAAAGCGCGCACGACGCTAGACACAAGTATTTGGGTGCCGGCACACCCACAAAAAATTTGTAAGTTCTGTTTATTTTCGTCTCCTGTATCCATCCTCTCTAATCTTTTGCCCCTGAATTTCTGGACTAACTTTAAAAACCGTACAGATCAAACAGATAATGCCATCTGGATTCTACACAAGAAACAATACGCTCATAAACTAAAGTAGTGATAGGCCAATGCCTCGAGGGCCGTCTTGCCAAAGCCAGACTGATATTCACGGCGGAAGAACACAGTTGAGCTTCTGATCCGCCCGTTAGTTTGTTGCTGGTATCCATGTCTAGTATTTTGGGTGAGGAACTCCAGGATAGAACTATTCAATTATTTATTTTGTATCCTCAACCCTGAGCGAGTTCAAAATCTGAATATTGGAAAAGATAATCGCTCAAACCAGGAGTGACAATTTCAGAGAGTGATCGAACCCATACAGAAGTCAAGCCAGTGGAGCGGGAACGATGTCAAGTACGCGTGGGATGAAATCCTGACAGAGTTGGTGAGGTTTGGAAATGTACGGGTCACGCAACGACTTGAGTATAGGACAGTATATTATGCACTTGGCCAGCACATCCGTCTACAAAAATTCTCGGCAGTAGGTGTTAGCTGCGTGCCAGAATGTTGCATAAAGCTCTTTTTTTTTTTTTTTTAGTGGACATTCCTGCTGTGAGCAGTAATAACAAACTGAGGGTAACATTGACCAGCTAGATTTAAAAGGCAAGGAAGGGAGTGGCTGTTGGATAGAGAGCAGAGATGGTACAAAGAATGAAATCGGCAATATTGATGGGAAATCATAGGAGTTAGACCTCTACAGAGGCTACTGATGCACATTGGATGGGTCTCCAGCTTTTATATCTCTTCTCACCAAGCTGTATTTCATAAGCTTATACCCTTCCTCGAAAGCAACTAGACAATAAGGATTAGATGGATATCCCTGACCGCTCACTCTTTTTTCTGAAGGAATGTCAGGACCGAGCACACCAAAATTTTATTTAAATTTAGATTATATCTGAATGGGAGCGTGGGATATTAGCTACACATGATGTTCCAGTATTTTAAAAACAAAAACTTTCTCTGAACTGTTCTTTATTCTTTTTCTCTCTCTTCTCTTGTGCAATTTATCTACGTTCACACTCTCAGAGCCTCGATTAATTCTTGTTGCCTTCTGTTTTCCTTTTTCTTGCACCAATTCGTTCCCCAACCCCCACTCCCAGTGAATAAAAAAAAAGGAAAAAAAATGATATTCATCAAATGAAGGCCAATCCTCTCAAGCACAGCAAGTCAATTCAGGTCTGGCGGTAACAACATAACATCTACATCTCCAAACAGCAGCTATCATTCAATAACAAAAGGAGAAGAGAACACAGAAGAAAAACAGAAGTAGGAGTACCGCCATCCTCGACACCCGAACCCATTGATAATGTTTCAGAATCCTTTGCAACTCTCTCGGTCAATCCAGCGTCTGAATTATCAGATATGAACACAATCGATAAAAGTAATACAAATGAGGTGTGAGCACACAAAGAATGCCTCTCAGTCCGTGAAGATAGAGGAAGATACTAAGCCCTGAGGAAGCTTGCTGAGGGCCAAGGGTCTCAAGAGCACACATCGCCAGGTTTTTTACGTTATATTAATTGCCCCGTCGACTCCGTATCCAAACGAAGTCAAAAACATTCGATCTTGATCGATACTGCCCGCATGCTAACGCAGATTCCTCAAGTGGGTATGTTTTTTTTTTTTTTTTTTTTTTTTTTTTGCATTTTAACTTTGATACATTTTTTGCTCAATAAATGTAACCATGTGTTTCTTCTAGGGAGTTTTACGTGCAGACATGACACTTCGATGTGGTGTGCACTACTGGGGTTTCGATCTAGTCAAGAACGGACAGTGTATCGCGCACCCTGACGAAACTCTAAATGCCTGTCCTGTCTCTGACTTGGAGTGGTAGGCATTTTTATATATTTATTAATAAACGACTATATTTTACAAAAGGTCCTGCTAGAAGGGCCAACTATGCTACAACATAACTCTAATACCGACGTGGGCGTGAATAGCGATCGCGGATATCCCTTGGAGGATATTCGTCATGCCTCAGGCCTCCACCGCTTCCGTTATTACTATACGCTCGACCATGAAGTGATCATGATTGCGCTCTTGCCGTTTAATGGAAACAGAGGATGAGTGTGCAAGGTTGGTTGCTCTGGATTAAACTGTTGGCTATATGCACCGACAGATCCATGGCTTTTTTGTGGGTTACATAGTCTGGATTCAATAGTTTGTGAACTTTTGTTTGCTCTGCTTGTTCTCTTTCCAAACGCTCCTTCCTCAGTTTCTCGATCGTGCTCAGCTCTTTCTCTTTGTGGACCTAATGGTTAAGAGAAGAATACAATCTAATGAATGAGAGGACCAAGAGATAGCCTCGATAAGGATATAACAAAACGATGGGTATTTACTGGCTGCAATGGCTCGTCTCCTTTCTGTAAACGCTTCGTTTCTGACTTATGCGGTGACGATGATGACTTGTACTTCTTCAGACGTTGCTCGTCTCGCTTTCCCAGCATTGATTTCATTGCACTCATAGGATCTCTCGAACTTTGCTGAAATTATGGTCTCGATCTCTTTAAAAAAAAATAACATCGTAAAATACATCCATATTAGTGTTATGAATCAGTTTTATGGTAATGATCAGGCACCATATCAGAGAAATAAACTTTCGATCTTTACTTTTTGCTGATGTCCCCTTGAGAATACGTAGGAAGCAACCATGGTTCTTTTCCTATTTATGTATTTATATGGCAAATTGGTATCTTAAAAGCGGCATCTTTATCTACGCATTTTTTTTTAAAAAAAAAAAAAAAAAAAAAAAAATCCTTTGACATTATCAAGAAACATGCCCGACTTTCGTTCAAACTTATTTAGTTTTGCTTTTTTCTCTGCTTCATACTCTTCATTTCCTTTGTTATTATAGCCCGCCTCCTAAATGAATTATGGATAAAATCAAAGAGGTGCTTAATAGCAAAAAAAGAAAAGAAAAGAAAAGAAAACTATGTTTTATACATAATTACTGTGTAATACACTTACTCGCCCTTCTAAATCGGCCCAGAAGTTGACATGTTGAGCTCTTGAATCCTTAGATATGGACTTCGAGTCTCTTTTTCTAGCAAGTTAGGTTGCCCTTCGTCAAGGATTTCAGTGTCATTGCTAGAGAGCACCCGGCGCTTCGCTCGATCCCTTAGCACCTTTAGCTTATATTCTCTATCCTTATGGTGATTTTTGATCGCGAAGGGTTAGATCATACAGCTCCGGGCTTGAAATAGCTCCATTCACGAAAATAGCTAATGGGCAGTGGAAGTAAGTCTTACTGCAGCTAATGTCTCTTCGGCCTTCCTCTTGTTCTTCGCTTCTGCTTCTGCTTCATCCTTTCGGACACGGTCACGATTTTTTTGGTTATAAACGTGCCAACTGAAGCGATACAGATTATTAAAAAAATATATAGAAATATAAATATATCAATATTTTCCCTGGTATGCTGCGCTTCATAAAGCATATTGCACTTATTGCCTTGATTTACTCCTTGTTACCTCTTGTGTGGCAAGATGTTCATTTCAATGAGTTGCCTTTTGTTTGTGGACCATCACACTGGAAAGGCAAACTTTAGAATGGTGATGTGACTCGCTTGTTCATGCTGTTTGTTTAATTTTCGACATAAACTCTTTAATATTTGTCCGGCGACGCAACTTCATTCACCAAAACGCACTAAATTCATGCTTGCTGCTGCAAAGGTTGCAGCCATCCGGAAATAACTGCGCGCACGCCAGTCTCATCCTTAAATCGTACAGACTGGTCTTGCTACTCTTTCCACAAGTGGTATGGAAGTGTGAGCGTCGAGGAAGGCATGGATACATATGGCTACGCAGCTTATAGAGCTAATAACTGACGCTTGTGAGATGTTGCTTATTTGTCACTATAGAGACATGGAAGCCTGGAAAAACACTGTGTGGATATAAAGTGCTCGAGGTATGGTTGACATGTCTAATTAAACCCGATGCTGTATCATGCCATCCCATCAATATGCGCATTATACAGAAATACTGGAAATTTGACCTATTTTGTTAATCGGAGATAGACTCGACACATTAAGGAGCTGGAACTCGACGCTATTCGGCTAAGGCATGAGAAAACAGGAGCAGAGCATCTTCATATCTCCCGAGATGATTCCAAAACGTCTTTGGCATCGGATTTGCCACGCCTCCAGAAAATAGCACGGGTGTTCCCCATATTCTCGAACATACGACACTCTGTGGCAGTCGATCTTTTCCAGTGAGAGACCCGTTCTTCAAGATGTTGAATCGTAGCATGGCTACGTTTATGAATGCTTTCACAGGTTTGTTTGTAGTTCATTTCAATGATTGTCATTAATATTGATTGGGCTTGAATCGACGTGCTTACGCACAATATATTCAAATATCGATTGACTAGCAAGTGATTACACTTTGTATCCGTTTTCAACAACTAATCCCATTGACTATAAGAACTTGAGGGACGTTTACATGGACGCTGCATTCTTTCCGCATCTCAGGGAGCTGGATTTCAAGCAAGAAGGATGGAGGCTAGAACATGAAGACCCCAATGGTACTTTTGTTTTGTCTATTATTTAAAGATTGGATATTGTCGGTGTCAAAAGTTGACTTTGGATAATAACCGTAAAATTTGTCTCAATGGGCTGGTTGATTCTAGACAAGAGTTCCCGATTGTTTTCAAAGGGATCGTGTATAATGAGATGAAGGGACAGATGGCAGATTCAGGATATTTATTTTGTCAAAGATGCAGCAGTTCATGTTCCTGGAACGACTTATGCTAATAACAGTGGAGGGGACCCTGCTTATATCACGGATTGACACACGAAGAACTTGTTCGATTCCACAAAACTCACTATCATCCAAGTAACGCTAAATTCTACAGTTATGGCAATTTTCGTTTGGAGGATACGCTTGAGGCTATCAATTCAAAGCTACATGAATTTTCTCCAATCACGCCTCCAGTCGTCGATAAAGTCGTCAAGCCTTTCGAGAGCCCTCGGCGAATCAATCTAACCTGCCCTGTCGATCCTAGTACGCAAATATTCGAAGAAGTATATGGGATAGAGTGTTGCATAACCTTTCGAATATTGATCTGACTGACTTTTTTTTTTTTTTTTTTTTTTTTTTTTTCTCAGTGACGCCCCCTGAAAAGCAAGCCAAGATGTCAGTTTCTTTCTTGCAAATAAGGCTACTGTACGCGTTTAAATCTCCTCGATGCGATACTAATGAAGAACATCCGTGAGATATACGGGGAAAATTGACGAACACTTTTGTTTATTGGGTTTAGGATACTTTTGAAGGGTTTGGCCTCAGAATCCTTTCAGATTTACTTACAGATGGCCATGCCTCACCAATGTACAAAGCTCTAATCGAGTCTGATTTGGGGTCAGAATACTCTTCGAACACTGGATACGATGGGTCAACCATGATGAGCTCACTGTCATTTGGCGTTCAAGGGATGAAAGTAGAAAATGTGCCCAAGGTAGAACAGACCATCATCGCAGTCCTTGAAAAAGTCAGAGAAGAAGGCGTCGACCCCAAGCGTGTCGAAGCCATTGTTCACCAGATGGAGCTTGGACAGAAACATGTATGAAATCGGTTCAAATAGAGTCAATGCTGTTTACGCTCTTTTCCACTCGGAAAGTACACCAATTAATTTTATCTTCTTTAACAGAAAACATCCTTTTTTGGAATGGGTCTTAGCAAGGACTTTCGTCTGGCTGGTTCAATGGCTGTAATCCATTGGATCTTTTAGAGCTTAATAAGGTTAGCAAACATAACAAATATAATGCGTATTGTTTTCAGAGTCGCTGCCTAGACTGACACGCAGCCTTTTGTACCCTAGAACATTGATCGTTTAAAATCCGAGTTTCATCTGGTCCATTCTTCCAAAACTTGATAAACAAGTACTTGTTGAATAACCCACACAAACTCGTATTCACTATGGTTCCCAGCACTGACTATGGAGCAGAAGTCGCAGCTAACGAGATGACGCGCCTTATGGGCAAGACTAGTGTTCTAACCAAGGCAGACAAGGAGGCTATCTATGAGCAAGGCCAGGCATTGCTCAAGAACCAAGAAAAGATTGAGGATGTTTCATGTCTTCCGACTTTAAAAGTAGATGATATTTCGAAGAAGACAAAGATCTTTTCATTGGAACATAGCGCCGTAAACAGCGTCCCCGTGCAATGGAGACCCACCTCAACCAACGGTATCACTTATTTCCGAGGATCAGTGTCATCTCAGAATTACCCCTGACCTAAAGAAATATCTACCGCTTTTCGCTGATTCTCTAACATCTCTCGGTACGCATAAGCGTGCAATGAGTGAGATTGATGACGAGATCAGGCTACACACAGGTGGAGTCCGTGTTGCGCCTTTCCTTTCCACGAATCATTCTAGTAAGTTATACTTCTGCTTGGCTTGATTGTATTCTAGCTGAGCGGTATTGTCATGATTATTAAAGCCATTTTGCCTTACTTATTTCCCTTCTATGATCATGAACTATATAGCAATTGACAGGACTGAAGAGGGCCTGTCCTTCAGCTCTTATTGCTTGGACAAGCAAGAATCGTATGTACGATCTTATGGGCGCGCTCATTAGCGAAACAAACTTTGACAATACCGACAAGCTCAGAACTTTGATTAAAGGGTACGTGAGCGTGTATCAAAGAGAAATCTGTTCAAGCTTTGCACTGAATTTAATTCGATCGACCTCAATTGTTTTTGTAGAATGCTTCGGCTCTCTCCAATTCCGTTGCAGACTCTGGACATGCTTTGCTAGAACCAATGCTGGTTCGCGCTTGACACCTGCTGGCGTAAGTCATTTTGGATATAAACAAATAATAGTATGAGCGTTAAATATTTACATGTGAAGCTAATGCATACTGTTGTTTTTATTATCTAGTATGCTTCTGAGATTTATGGTGGTATGACTCAGGTTCAATTCATGAATTCGCTTGCGCAAATGGATGACCTCACTGAAGTATCGCAACGTTTAAAGGAGATTGCTAACGTGGCAATCAAGCGTTCCAGCCTAAGACTTGCCGTTACCTGTGGAGATGATCAAATGTCGAGCAATGAGAAAGTTATCGGACAATTTATTTCACGTCTTGATGCTAGCCCTGTAAAATCTTTTTCCCAGGTAAGATGGATTAATTTAAAGTGTTTAAAAAAAAAAAAAAAAAAAAAAATATCAACACCATTTTATTGTCAATTATTAGCTTGAATTCTCGCCATCGTATGAAAATTCCTTCTTTGGATTACCATATGGTATCAATTCACTGCAAAATGCCTGCGCGGTGTACATTACACACATGAGGATGGGGCAAAGCTTCAGATCCTTGCTTCACTCATGTCGAACTTGTTCCTGCATCGTGAGATTCGTGAAAAGAATGGTGCCTATGGTGGTGGGGCCGGCTACTCTTCTACAGGCGGTCTATTTCATTCTATTCTTATCGTGATCCTAGCCCCAAGAAGACGCTAAGCACTTACGAAGACTCTGTTCGTTGGGTGCTGGATCGTAAGGACTTTTCTGATCAAGAGATGGCAGAAGCAAAGCTATCAATCTTCCAACGCATGGATACCCCTGTCAGTGCAGCTGAAGAAGGAATGATTATATTTTCGGAGGGTATCACAGATGAAATGCGTCAAAAGTAAGTTTTAGAAGAATGAAACAAAAGGCCCTCGAGATAACAAGGAAATGCCTCCTGAACACTTGACTAATGATACTCTCTCTTTCTTTCTCTTACAACAGCCGTCGTGAACAGCTTCTCAAAGTTACAAGCGATGATGTCAAGGAGGTGGCTAACCGCTATCTACTCAACCAGCCATCGAGCCATTGCATCCTTGGTGACGAAGAATAATTTTTTCACTCGTTTTTCTTTCAGATAGAATGCAATAAAGCATCAAACCGCGGCACGGCACGGACATTAAACTAGCGAAAATACACGCGTGTATCCGATTTTAAAATAAAAAGATCAGTTGAAGTTTATTCATACATTTCAAGGGCAGAGCGACTAGTGGCCATCCTTTACTCGGGATCACTTAAACTAGTAACCGTATTTGCCACACATGCCGCAGTCCTACGAGCTGCATGCTGTGTAGTCTTGATCGATATCGATGTTCATCACTATCATAGTTGCCGGACCCATAATACTCATCGTCCGAAGCAAATGCGCTATATTTGTCCCCATAAAGGAACAAGAAGCAAGTGAATGTAGTAGAAAACCTATGCAACCATCGCTCTATTAGGATTTTAAAGAACTGGAGCATTCTACGTCCATGCATCCATGATAGGACTTTGTACGTGTCAGAGTCCTTTGGGAAGAGGTAAAGTATAGATCCCCAAGATTCAAGTACTACCCATACCGCTTCAAAAATCCACATCCTTTCGAGTAGAAGGATTCGGTTCGATTGGCTTGAGATGTGTCGTCGCCTTCTTGATACCATCTGTTATTCGGACATCCTATTTCCTATAGGTTAGCCATTCCTATGTGTAAAGATCATCTCCCCACCAATCTTGCAGTGAAGGAACGAATGACTAGAGATACAGCGTTCTTGTGAAAGAATAAATGTTAAAGGAAGAATACAATTAAGGAGCACGAGTGGAAGGAGTAATGAAAGTAAGTGATAGAAGTTGGGAACAAGAGAGAAGCTGAAGGAAGTTGAGGAGTATGTTTATGTATGTGCCCATTCTCTGGAGCTCTTTTTCTCTTGATTCATCTACTTCATGTCACCACAATGCGCTTGTATCGTGGAAAAAACGTGTCTCTTGTAAATTCATTCTTTGAAGAAAAGACATCTGCATGGTCCTTACACACCTTACTCGCATGCCCCTCCCCCCCCATGTAATAATCTAAAAAAATTATCGCACGACCAACGTACACACTGATTTACACTACTTCCGTCTCCTGTGCAAATAACCTTCATGGAAAAAGATATTGGATTAATCTAATTGGCAATCCAAGTGCAAATATAGTCAACTTTGAAGACTTTTTTTGGCAGCCCAGCTGTCAAGGAACACCCTCATGATTTGGCAACCTACCTAGCGTTATTAGCCTATTTCTATTATTTCTGTAAAAACTCTCGTATCTCGTTTACTGAGGACAATCCTGTTTTTGATCGTGATATTCAGCTACAATCCAGTGAGGCACATCAACATATTTTGCGATCCTAATGCTTCCTGTCTATTGACATTTTTATTTAGAGGAAGCCCACCAATTAAAGGCGGGTTTTAATTAAAAAACTGGGATAATAACCCCGTGCAAACAGCTTATTATTTGGCAGCCCAGCTGCTGCCGCAAAAAAGGCTGCCAAATAATGGTAAAAATTACTATTTGTACGGGGCCGTGCAAATATCATCACCCCGAATAAAATGCTACCAGCAAAATGTACGCTCCTGGGTGGCTTGAACCACCAACCTCCTGATTAACAGTCAGACGCGCTAACCAATTGCGCCACAAGAGCCTGAAAATTGTCGTAAATGACGCCTATTCATTTACCTAAATATGTATTTCCTTTCAATTTATTATTTCCTATCATCCTATTTTCTACCATTTTTAAATAGTATTTAAGTAGCTTTTTCCTTCACTGCAAGAGCAAACAAGCCAATGGCTGAGTAGTAAAACTCGTCAGGGCACCCCCCTGTCTAGCCCAGGGGCCGGGTTCGAGTCCTGGTTAAGGCACATAAAGTGAAGCAAACATGTGCCAGGTCAGGGATTTGCTTGAGTTTTATACTTTCTCTCCGAGACAGCCTAGTGTTCTCCGCTAAGGCTAAGATCGTGGGTGCACTACCCTAAGTCGCCTGGCTGGCCACATGTCTTAGGTTTATATTCCACCCCCAGCCGAACCAGCGGTACATCTGGCAGCATCCCCCATCACCCATTGACTAGGACAGCGATGATCACAAAGTTTGACGGAGTCCAAAGTAGAAATTTCAGACCAATTCCGCAAGATTTGGTCCACATGCCAGTGGATTTGATCGAATAGAAAAAATTAAAAGTCGTCCTTAGCTAGAGTCGGCACGCCAGCCTCCGCGGCTTTTCACGGGCGCAACAGGCCACATCGGAAGGATGGACTTCGAGTACCGATCACGGTGTACATTGGTAGAGAAAAACATGGATACGAATTGGCTCTTCACAGCCATCCCGTGCGAACTTTGAGAGTTTCGCTTGTTTCATAGTTGAGGGCGATATCATTACTTTAGAGCGAGATTATGAAATAAAATTCCTCACCTCTGTGGGTTCTTGTTAACAGGAAAAAAAAAAAAAAAAAAAAAAAGAAAAAAAAAGCTTTTTCCTTCACTGCAAAGAATCTTCTTCTTATTCGATGCCTTTTGCAGGTGAGTTTATCTTCATTATTCTCATTATGAATTCTCAGAAAATTAGCAGTTATTAAATGACTCTCTTCTTATTATCGATGCCTCGTGGTCCTTGTTATCAAAAAAAAAAAAAAAAAACTTCTTATTATCGATGCCCTTTTGCAGCATCCTCAAAATCATTCAAAGCATTACTTAGGATCACTATCGTATCCCAAAACCACGAGGCTCTTGCCCAATTCTTCATTTTTCATCATTACCTACTAGTTTCCAGAGATCACTAGTAGATGCTCTACGACAAAATCGAACTGGATCTAAACTATTTAATACGGAAGACATCAACATCGAGTGACAGATTAAGGAGTAGAGATGCGGACCGGTGAAGTGGACCAGATGAGGCTTCCGCACTCAGCGGCCCATGACCTGAGGGTCCTTGCTCAAAAAAAAAAAAAAAAAAAAAAAAAAAAGCCTTCCACACTCGGAAGAGACCCAAAGGCATCTCCAGCATGGTTCCACAATGTTCAAAATGCCCTTCATGAGTCCCTTTACACACACAACTTTATCGAAGTATGGTGTAGAGACAAAAAGAACATTCTTCAGAGACTAGACGAAGAGGAAGAGAGAGATTTAAGGGAGCTCCAACAGCTAAATGAGGCTGAAAACAATGAGAGAGCAGATGAACTACTCACAGAAGACAATATGTTGGAGGAGCAGCCCACTGAGGATGATGAGGATGATGAAGTTGGATATATAAGTTACCTCAGTGACGTGGAAGAAGACCCCAGAGAGCCACTTGATCCCCTAAGTGTAGAACAGCGGGAGGAAAGAGAAAGAAGAGCACAGTGTTACATACAAGAGGGTATGCAGGAGTATGAAGGATACACTGAGTCTGATCGCGAACTCCAAAAAGAATACTTGCGAGAAAATTTTGAAAAAAGAGAGCGTTTGAGAGAAAAAGAGCGCGAAGCTAACGAGAGGCATAGGCTGTGGAAAGATCCTCAAGGAAGGAAAATGTTACAATTTCGCGACCGTTTGGAAAGAGGGAAGAGGGAGCAATGGTTGCTAAGAAAAATAGAGTAACAGAGGAAAAAAGAAGAGGTGGAGAGAAGGAGAGTGTGGCGACGTGAACAGTGGGTGCAAGCCAAGCAAGAAGCCGCACACTCGAAGGCTATCGAAAGAGCTCGCCCGTCAAGAACGCCTACGGTTACAGGCTAGGTTTCAAAGGCTCGATGAACAAGGAAGAAGAGAACAGCGACGACGAGCGGCTTTCAACCGAGCAAGACGTAGAGCACAAGAGCGAAACAAGATACGTGGACGCCATGAACTCGATGAACAAGCTCTCGATAGGAGGCTCAGGACGAAAGCGCAAGAAGAGATGGACTCCTCAAGAACAAGGAATAATAAAATCCCAGAGGGTCATCATCGGTGGTTTGGCTCCTCTGAGTGCCTAGGTGTAGAGATCCCACAGGTTGACATGGACAATATACTGCGTCAAAGAGAGAAACTATCAACGATGAGTCAGCTAACACTTTACTCCGATGGGTCCCTTGAAGAGGCAGGAAGAAGGGCGGCGCGGATGGCTTTCGGGGTGGTGGCTCAGATAGGCCCAGAAAGCTTCTCAAATGTAGTTTCAGGTAGAGTCCGATGGGTATGCTTCATCCACCAAGGCAGAGCTAGTAGGACTGTACGCAGCCATTCTAGTCAGTCCCCGTAACGTTCCAACGACTGTCTACATAGACAACATGGCGGTAGTGGTTCAGTTCAAGGACCTTGCTCAAAAGCGAGAAGCAAGCACTGAACGGCAGCGATTGCGATCCAAGTACGCAGTGTGGTGGGCAGCCATTTCGAGAGCGCTCTTTAAGCAGGGCGGGAAGGTAAACTGTGAAATGGGTCAAGGGCCATGCTGGGAATAGAGGCAATATAAGGGCAGACCAAGCCGCCAAAGATGCTCATTTTAGCGAAATGTGGACAATCAAAGGACTGGAACACAACGATCTGCGCTGTCACGCTATGTTCGAGAACGAGATGGTGGAGGATGATCTTAGACACCTGCTAAAACTCCAATCAGCAGTGAGAACACATTACTTGTGGGCGTCTCAGAACAGAGTCAGGAATTATATTGCAGACTGGCGAGAAGTAGAATGGAAAGCAAGCCTGCATATTCTTCACGATGGCAACACGCCTAGAGGCCTCTTCACCAGCCCAGCAGATTGTCACAAGAGAGCGCACAGAATAAAGAAGGTCCATGGTATGCTTCCTACACTCACTTATATGAGGCAATGGCGACCGGACCTGTATGAGACTGACATCTGCAGGATGTGTGAACAGGAGCAGGAGGACATAGAACACCTCTGGCGATGTCCCATGACACTGGACGAGCAATTGAAAGGTTGGAAGCAGGCCATAGAACTCATCACGAAGGATGGCAAAAGAGCATTAGTGAAGGAGAAGAAGCTCTGGGAAGACAAACAAGGGAAAACACAGGAGCCAAACCTGAATAAAGGAGGTCCCTCGTTTACACCTGTAGCCGACAACGTGATTTGGGGCTCTTTGGAAGCGATGTTCAAGGGCGTCAGAGAGATTCGACATGCGAGCACTCTGTTTGGTGAGGAAGAGGTGGATATGGGACGGAGGAACGAGGGTGAGGATGCTCACTGGACTGTCCAAGACTTGTACCACGGTTTTGGTGCCGAAGGAACTGATACAAAAATGGAAGACGATCTTCAGAACCACAACATCGATCTCAAGGTACATTGTTTGCCGCTTTGTCAAGTCAATCGAGGAACTCGGCAGGACTGAAATCTGGAACAGACGCTGCAAAGTCGCCGTCAACTGGGAAAGAGACAATGGTATCACCTCTGTGAGCAAACGCGCCAGGGGACGCAACTGTGTTGGGAGGCACAGACGTAGCAGAGGTGAATTCTTTGGCTCTCACCAGGGACAACGACGAACAGCAGATGTGAAGGCGATCAGGACTGAGGCAGACCGGCGAGTGGCGGCAAGCTACCGGCAGCAGGTGGAATTGGCGATTATGGAGCGCCTGGAAAGCTGTAAATTTTTGATGATTGAGGACAGCGGCTAAAGGATGACCTTCGCGCACAACAGGCCAAGTAGGGAGTAGAGCCGTGCCACAGGTCCTCTGGGACCAAGGAAGTCTACTCAATGCTGACGTGGTTTATGAACAGGATGTAGTACTGTGGCAGTATGACGATGCGGCTTCGGTCGATTATTGGATACCGCTTTATTTGCGACCCCAGTAATGGGGCAACCCATTTATAGAGCTAACATCTAAATAAATCCTACATGACCTCGTGGGTCCTTGTTATCAAAAAAAAAAAAAAAAAAGCCTTCCACACTCAGTGGATGATCGAGTCCGGGACAGCTACCTTGGGAAAACTAAACTGGACGTGGTAGAGCGGCTAGGTGGAATGGAGCTTTTGATGACTATGGATAGCGGATAATTTGTCGTGTTGCGCAACAGGCCACACCGGAAAGGTGGACTTTGAGTACCAACCACGGCGGTCAGGGTTCCATGACCCGAGGTCCTTATCAAAAAAAAAAAAAAAAAAAAAAGTGAGACCTTCCGCGCTCAGCGCCAGCAAATCATATAGGAGCAGTTATTGAACATTTTTGTACAACAACGGAGACGCCAGCCGGCCGCTATCAGCCGAGGGCTCGGCAGGACTGAAATCTGAAACAGGCGCTGCAAAGTCACTGTCAACTGCAGGAGACAATGGCACCACCTCTGTAAGCAAACGCGCCAGGGGACGCAACTGTGTTGGGAGGCACAGACGTAGTAGAGGTGAATCCTTTGGCTCTCACCAAGAACATCGACGAGCAGCAGACGTGAACGGGATCAGGGCTGAGGCAGATCGACGGGTGACGGCAAGCTACCGACAGTAGGTGGAGTTGGCGGTAAATTTTTGATGATTGAGGCCTACGGCTAAGGATGACCCTCGCAAATAAATCCTACATGACCTCGTGGTCCTCGTTATAAAAAAAAAGTACTAATTCTATGACCATTGACCTTGTCTGCATGTCGATCTCTGAGGTCGCGAGCGAGGGGACAAAGATACGCGAGTGACTTGTTGACAATACAACCCCACGTGTCCTCTCTTCAGGCGGGTCCATGATAAAGGTTGGTTCTACCGATGTCACTATAGCTTTCGGTGTCGTTGACAGACCTCAAGCGGCGGCTACCACAGTACAAGGTCGGATTGATGGGTTTGCTTCATCTGCCAAAGCGGAGCACATAGGCCTGCTTACTGCTATCCTCTCTACCCCTCTAGTAAAGATATTTGTGTGGAGCTCGACAACCAGGTAGTTGTGATCCAATATCAACAGCCTGTCAAATCTCGGCACCATATATTGCCTAGGAAACGTCCTCAATGTAACTATGCTGGGCTTTGGGCAGTAGTCTACTAACCCGTCAACGACAGACCAGGGTCAGTTGAGATAAAATGGTCCGTGCTCATAGCAACAGCGCTGGCAATGTGTTTGCTGATATGGTGGCTACTAGAACAGCTAGAATGGCTTCTGCACCTTGGAAAGCCGATCTCAGTGCTCAATCTGATATCCAACACTTTGCATACTTTCATGGCCAATTGATTGAACAGGGCTTCGTCAACTTCTCAAGCAACAAACCATCATCCGATGGCAAACAAGCATGGACAGCCCAACGATGCACAAAGAGAGCGATCTGTAACCTTGACGATATGGAGTAGCGATCAACGCTGGGTCGATAAACACCCTGTGCACTCTTTCCGCAGCAATGCCAAGGATCATATCAAGAAGCCTCAATGCCTTGAAAACCGCAAGACTGGACTCTATAAATGAGTTATTGCGGTCTTGATCGCACTCAATTCTCAAACTACACCAGCATGAGTGGTAAACTGAATTTTGTTTATAGGAGTTCCGTAGCCATACTACTTTCCGTCCGAGCATAACCCTGCTTGATGATGCGGAAAAGTGAGCCTCAAAAGTCAAAATATAGGATGAAGTCCAAAGGAGGAGATCTTCTTATTTATCCAAATCAACTAAAAGCTAGTATACATGTAGTTAAAGGGTTCCAAGGTACCAAATGTGAGCAAATGCCATAAATTTTATTATAGTATGCTTGCCGGTCTTGGGAGGCTATGTTTCTCCATGGCAGTACGCAACGCCTTTATCCAGAGCTGCGTCAAATTTTCATCCCAATTAGCAGATTGCTTCACCCCACTCATCTTGGAGGATAGTTCAGTTGAAGGCAATGATTCAATTAATCCATATGTCTGAGCAGCCTCATACAACACTTGTACCATGTCATATGATGATTCTATTCCGTATGCACGGCCATCTTCATGAACAGCCCAAATGCAGCTGATAACTCTCCTGACTTGGCGTAAAAGCGTATAGCATCCGCAGCTAAATGCTGAGTCAAATGGAACCCGGAAAGGATCAAATCTGTCGACATATCCCGTCCATAAGCAATCTGATCTTCCACATGCAGCTGTGTCATTAGTTGTTGGTATAAGTCGGTCAAAGTAGGTACATTTGATGGAGAGCTTGGAATGATCGCCGTGGGAGAAGCGAGCGTTACAGCGGCCTTGCGAATTAAGGATGTTACGGCATGGTCTGGCGATCCCTGACCATCGCCCTTCGGAAAGTCCTATTTCTAACATTTTCAGACTGTCGTAATAGTCGATAAAATTCATAGCCAACAGCTCCCTTCCTCGTTTACAGCTTTTGCCCAACAATTCTCGGTACATGCTCGATGCCACGCGACTAGGATATCCAGCATCTAATGCTTCCTTTAGTAGTTTTAGTGTTGATTCGACACCATATCGATCTGCAAATGAATTCATAAGAAGTTGAAAAGTCTCTGGATGACGAGATGCGTGAAGGGATCCATCAGACCTATCCTCTGTATCACCCAAGACGAGTGGCAAAGTTCTTGGTACAACTCACGAGCAAACAGTCGATCTCGGGCCCTTAATGCGCCACCAAGGAGGATGTTCCAAGTTTGAGCATTTGGACGTATTTTCTGTGATGACATGATCTCTAAGATGCCAACAACTGTTGCTGGTATTGAGTGTCGAACAGCCCCTTCGAGTAGAGCATTGATGTGCTTGATCTCGTTTGCTATTCCAGAACGATCCATCTCCTCAAATACTTTGATAGCCTCTGACAGGTTCTCTGAACGAACATAGGTCAGCATCAGTTGTAGGTACATTTCGCCATCTCGCTTCACGCCCAGTCCTTCGAGTATTGATAGTATTCTTCGTGTCATGGGGGGCTGTCCGTATGCTGCCGTCAACTTCAAGACATTGCGGTACATGTGGACATCAGGCTTGACGCCATGGTTCTCAGCCAAATTACGAAACAGCTCTACTGACTCGTCCAACATGTCACTCTTAACCAAGCCACGTAACAAACGGTTCAAGGCACTGATAGATGGTACATGATTGTCTCGCAAAGATTTGTCCAATACCTCAAGGGCGGCTCCGAATCGATGATTCATCGTTAGATCAATTATGACCTTTTCCGACACGTCTGCTGCCAATGGGAGTTCCTGATCGGTCAGCTCCTGGATCATATCCTGAACGCGATCAAAATCATGGTCATTACTCGCTTGCCTCAGAATCTCCTGAAGCCCAAGTTCTGTCATTATTCTCCTTGATTCAATCGGGCTTTTCGCGCTATTCTGATCGTTTAGGCTCTGTAAAACGCGTTCAATCTCGATATTATGTGTTTTTGGTGAGCCAAGTTGGGTCCATTTATTCATTTCAACTAAACGCCTCATAAACCCCATAGCTTTCTGTGAATTTTTGTTAGCTGCAATGGATCGAATTAAATACTGAAATTGGATCTCATCAAGAGCATGTCCTTTCTCAAATAGATCGAGCGCCAATTCCATGGCCAGTGGGAACCCATGCTCATCCCGCCCCAGGCATATGACTTCAATTAATATAGGATTGATGACAGCCTTCCATCCCTCGATTGAACTAGGAGTCCGAGCAGCAATCGACTTCCCTTGCGATGTGGCAAGGCTTTGTATGGCTTGTTTTCGTCGTCTCAGGAACTCTATCCTTCCATCAGCCGCCTCCATATCCGTGGTGTTTCCTCCAGTACTCCCGCTTGTCACAACAAGCGGTGTTACATCTAGAAGATCGATACCACTTTGCTGCTGTTGAATGGAGATATATCGATCTATAACCGAGCCAAGTAACTTTACTGTCTTCGTAATCTCATCAGTATGGATATAGCTTTGAATGGCATATGCAATCGTAGCGATCGAAGGTAGAGGCAAGCTCTTTTTTTCAGACTCCATCTGCTTCCAAGCCTTTATCCCTGCATGCCAGTCCCTTTCCTGAAATGCTGTGGCAAGCCAGAGACGATAGAGATCTGCATTGCGAAGGACTTTATGGGCTTTCATGTACTCAATCGTATTTTCCACAAGCTCTGATGGTGATTGAATAATAGGCAAATCCAGCCCATTTGTTTGTTTTGTATCCTCTGATCGCATATTTGACTCTGAGTGATCCAGGATGGACTGCTTCCCATTAACAAGTGTGTGTAATCGAGCCTCGGTGAGTAAGATGTATGATTGAGCACTGCATTTACGTGCTAACTTTGGATTACCAAGGATGGTAGATGAACTAAGCTTAGCATATGATAGTCCTTATGGTGTGAGAGCCAGAAAATATAGGCGTCCCAATCAGCCGGTGTAAGTAAGTTAATGTGTCTCGATGTGAAAAGGATATTATAGAGTTGCTGAAGCGCTGGCAGTGGTGGGACTATGGATGATGGTATACGGTGCTTTTCCATTAATGCTCTGTGATATGTCGTTACGTCCCAAGTGGGACGAGTGAGTATAAAATCGATCTGGATATATTAATAATCTCAAGTTATCGAGAGCCACGACCGCCTTCTTGATATGTATTGCAGCTGAGGAATGGCGAGGTTGTCTTATTGACGTATTCTTTTTTTTTGAAGACTTCACAGAATTTACGACAATGTTGGGGGTATTATGAGTGTTTGATGGCGTACTGTTTGAAAAGAAGTCAGCTAGTCTGGAGCCACGAGTCCTTCGTGAGCGCTGCGGACTGCTATTGTCAGTGGAAGGCCGAGTCGCGGCACTAGCTTGAAGGTTTTGCGCATTAGATGCGCTTGAGGTGTGAGACTGGCGATATTGTCGGTATCCAAAGCGATTTGTAGTCGAGTTCAATATCTTACACTTTGGCGCAAGTACGTTCAAAGATTCAAAGAAATAACTTGTAGTGCAAATGCACTGGCTTAAAGACCGGGCACGTAGTGGGGTTACGCGTTTGTTGGGAACAGCATTGATTTTTTGCAAACGGTGTCGCCTCGAAAGATTGATCATATGAAAGCTTTGAAGTTGATATTTCTGAAGACAATCTATGTGTCTTCATGCGCAAATGTTGTCGCGGAGTACTGAATGGCAAGTTAGCTGGCGATGTTCCATGTATTGAATGAGACTTGGGAAGGGAGCTGATAACTACAGTTGGCCATTGAATAGCTCTAGATTTCGACATGTTGTATCTAGGTTTATGCTAAAAGAGTTGTTCATAAGTGAGTGGATATCCTATGCTCTTTTGGAATAGTGAAAAAACAATTTCGCACCTGGTCTCGACAATACCTTCAGACGCAGCAGTTAGAGGCCATTTGTCATAAAACTTGTAGTGAATGGCGTAGAGACGTGCTGGGTAATGGAGGTGGTTGAAGGCAGGCACTTTTCGCCCTGCAAGTGTTGAGTAAACACCAAGCCCCGCCGGATCTATTCCTGTTCCCAAAATGGTAATGTTATATAAAAACAGGACATTGAAGTAGGACATTGAAATAATTTTCATTAGTTGCAGCATTACAACAAACCAACCAGCCATCCCCATTCCAACTATTCAAAATGGCACAAGCGCCCACGGAAGTGCCTGTAGAACAGACGCCGAAATCATTTGAGTCCTCAACCTGGGCAACTGCGAGCGGAAGTGCCTCAGAGAAGGAAAGGAAGGAAAACAAGTCATTTGAACGCTGGAGAAAGACTCTCTCACTTATTACTGGTATTGGTCTAACCCCTGAAGAATTCCAAGCTGAGGTTGATAAAGCAGATCGAAAGCAATGTGAGCTTCACAAAGAGCGTCTTATTAAGAGCAGTAGGTTACAGTTTCCCCCTCAGTTTGTAAACTTGATAAAAGCGTCACAGAAAAGGTGCATGAACTCAAAAGTGTCCTTGATATTAATTATCTTAGGTCCGGGCGTACGGTTCATGATGAGCAATTTGGCAAAGGCTGGCTGCCCACTGACCAGAGAGATGCTCGAATGTGTTCCTTGCGACAAGATAAATCTGGTGGATTCTCCAAAGATCATGGTATCATGCTTTGTCAAAATGGATTTTTCAGTAAAAAACACCAGGAGCACACAATGATTCATGAGATGATACATATGTATGACCATTGTGTCTTTAATGTCGAGTGGGACAACCTTCGTCATCATGCGTGCAGTGAGGTACCTTTTTTTTTTTTTTACACCTGTGTAGACGGTATTTTCTTAGTGTACGACACAATTTTTGTTCGTCTTTTTTCTACTACTAATTTTATTTTAATGTTATCATCATCATTGTTCATATGTCGAGCTAGATTCGTGCAGCTGCACTAAGTGGAGATTGTAACTGGTTGCGTGAGGTGAGACGTGGAAATTATACGTTTACAAAGCAACATCAAGAGTGTGTAAAGCGACGCGCTATTCTTTCGGTCGAGGCCAATCCTGAATGTCCATCTCGCACTGCAGCAGAAAGAGCTGTTAACGGGTTTTTGAGTCTTGTTACAATGATACACGGCCTTTTGATGAATTTTACTGAAAAAAAATCCTCCTTTTTCAATCAGAAAAAACTAAAATAAAAAAAAACATAGAGTACTAGTCTATAACAAACTCTTCTCGTTTGCATGGTTATGAACCCAATGTGTAATCGTTTCAGCCACAGACACAAGTTGTCGCACCTGCTCCATTGGGACACCCCATTTCTTGCGCCATAGATGTGGCTCTTCAATTGAGGAGGGACATTAAGCGGTACTAGTACCGCTACCAGACATAGCTCCGTCTCAGGGATAGATATTATTGAGGTGTCACTCAACACTCTTCCATATGTGTCAACGAGAATGCTTTGCACCAAATCTTGACTGCTGTTTCCAATTTTCTAAGGATCGGCTCGGCTTTTTTTTTTTTTTTTTTTTTTTTTTTGTTAAAAGGAAATTATAGGTTAATAAAGCATATGATCTTTAGTCACCAATAATAATGGGATGGTTTTCGGACTTACTGTGATGCTGATAAATAGCCTGAAAGAGATCCCGGCCACGCCTATAGTATTCTTCAGGAGTCGTAGCATTTTTCGGTCCACGCACAGGCCCATGGTTGTTCACAGCTGTTACTAGATCCGGATCAAGCGCGAAATTCACAGCGCCAAGAGCATTGATGCCATAGGGACCGCCGCACAAGGCCGATCCTTTATAAAGCGCTTCCCGAAGCCTACGAATGAAATGTACTTGATTTGGCAAGATATCTGAAGAGGAAACGACAGGAGTCAGTGAAATCGATAGTGACCCTTCGGCAATATCTGTTAAAGCCTGTTGGACCAGCGGGATGAGTAGCTTGGGGAAATTGGCTCCTGCCAGCGTGCATGCCTATTCAGAAAGTGAGGATTTATGAGAGTTGAGCATATTACGTTTTTTAAAAAAAAGATAAAAAAATAAAAAAAAAAATAAATAAAAGCCTACGATTAGAATCGGTCGCAGTTCTGCAGGCGATAGCGAAAGTGCATTTCTCCATGAAGTAATGAGCGCTGTCGCCTCAGTGAGCAGGGATGTATTGTCAGCAGATGACATGAGTTTTTACAGATCAAGAGTTAATGAGAAGTGTACTTTTTTAGGTTCATTACGTTTTCAAAAATATTCTTTATATGAATGTGGGTATCGATGTTTACAGAGCTATTATAAATGCAACCATTAAAGCTTGACATGGGCGACTACAAGCTATTGAAAATTAAATATAACGTTCATGCTAGGAATTAGTAAGGCCATCAGAGTCATAGTCTACCACAAGCACTATAAGCATGTTCTTCCTTACAGTGCCGTTGGCCACACATGCCGCAAGTTTGTCTCCTGTGCTATTCCAGTCCACTTCAAAAATCCCGCCTTCTCCTTGATATGTCTTGACAAGTGCTCCATCCTACTCAAAAAAAAAAAAAAAAAAAAAAAAAAGAATAGCAAAGTATTTTTTTGGGTTAATAACATGCCTTAAAGTAAAATATCGAAGGAGTGGCATGAAATCTTAAATGATTAACAGACCTGCACTCTCCATATATTGATTGTCGTGTCTGGAGACCCAGTGGCAAGATGTGTACCAGTTGGATTGAAAGCAACAGAGTATACTGCTTCGGTATGTCTTGAGAGGACACGAAGGTTATCGCCATTTCTAGCATCCCATAGTCTCACTGTCATGTCGAACGAGGCTGTCGCCAGAATCCTTGGCTCCTTTGATGATGCTTCATGAGGTGCCCACGTCATATCATAGACAGCTTCAGTATGATTCGTAAGATCAAATAGACATTCGTCCCGCGACATAGTCCAAATCTACATGAAAATGATCGAGTTAGAGGGTGATGGAGGAAAAAAAAGAAAAAGGAAAAAAAGTATATCGACATCAGACTTTTTGAATACAAAAACCAACACTACCTTTGCTGTTTTATCATCTGAACACGACGCAAGAAGTTCTCCTAAAGGGTCCCAGCGAACAGCGTTTACTTCGTCCTTATGTCCATCAAACACCTTGACGGGCTCAGAGCTATCTACTTTGCATACATACACTTTCCCATCAGACGATGATGTCGCGAATGTGGTGTTGTCAAGCCAATCTACATCTAGTACTGCGCCAGTATGAAACTCATGTTGCTGTCTAGCGTCCCCTGTTGTAGCGTCCCCACAATCGTAGTGTGATCTAAACTTCCTGTGAGGATATAGTTGCCTTTTTTATTCCATTTTAGAGCAAAGATCGGTCCACGATGTTGGCTCATCAAATATCTCAGTTGTCCGCGCTGCGTCCAGATTCGAGCCTGTCCATCATAAAATCCTGTAGCAAGAAGTGTTCCTGAAGCCTATCCAGAAAAATAAATAAATAAATAAATAGGTATATTAGAATAAAATAATAATCTCATGCGTCTGTAAACTCTTCTTAATGATTCTAGATGAAAATGATAGGTTTTCGAGCCTTGCGACTTGCGTGCACATTAGTCTTACATTCCAATCCATTGTCGTGACATCTCTATTGCTGTCTGTTAATGCTGGCAGATGCTTTAGCACAATTGGTTCCAGCAGGGCGTCATCGGTGCTACTGGGTATTTGCCATATACGAGCCGTTGCATCCCTGACCTAGTAATTGTATTAAAGAATGATTGGAATATTAGATAAAGATATGATCAAGATGACTGCGCAATTTTCGCATTCTGTAAATCAGACACATACCCGGATGCCAGCAATAAGGGTGAGGTAGGACTCCATGAGCATACAAATACATCCGCAGTGTGGCCTTTCAAAGTAATAGCATCGCTTGCTGGTATGATCTTCACCTCCGCCGCATCCATTATTTCCACAGCTAGTTTATCCCATAAATCACACATGCACGCGTAAAAAAAAAGAAGAGTAAGGTGTCCATTCTAATATACATTTAGCATGAGAGAATACTCGACATTGGACATACGCGTGCCAACAGGAAACATCCTCAACTTGGTCAGTATCTACAATGGGGTCGTCATCCTTATCATCTTCATCAAGTTCTGTTCTCAGGCGCTTGTCTCGACCTTGTTGCTGCTCTCGAGGCCGTTTACTCTCTTTTCGATCTCGTTTATTACCCTTCCCAACTAAATCATCACGCCTTGATTTTTGCCTTGCTTATCACAGCGATGAGGTCCAATAAGTGCCACTGGTCCCGTACATTCCCGTTCAGTTCCATCCTGGTTTTGATAAGTCGTAAATGATAGTGATGGAAAATTCATGGCAAGGTCTTGTTAAAATAATGTGTATCGAGAAGTAAAATAAAAATTACACTACAAATTAGATCCAGGGCACGACATTGAGAGATTCAGGTCTACTTACCTCATTAACATTGAAGCTCTAAATCCATATACAGTAAGCCTTTTTGAATCACACTCACGAGAGCACCTGGTTGAACATTTGCATTCCGATATTCAGACTTGTGGATATGTGACTCATTCTGAAAGGAAAATCCTGTATGAACAAATCCTGAAATAGACGAGTGGTATGTGTTATTTTATAAAATCACGTTGGTGATACTAGTGATGCCCTCAAAGCGGAGCCTTACCTGACTCTTGAAGGTACCGAAAAATTAGATAGTTGATTTCCTCACTGGTGACGCTCATCCTGTATTTTTTTTTGCAATAATACAAATACGATGACTTTAGTTGTTGAAGACTGCGTGATGCGAGACGGGTTAGATGAATAAGTACCTTTAGTAAAAGGGATTTTGCAAGCCTAAAAGATTTTTTATGTTAGTTTGCGATCAGGAAGGCTATGCTTTTCCAGGAGATAACTTGCTTCCGTTGTAGTAGCCAATTACCACGTGACTAATGGCTTTTGAACAGAAATTATACACAAAACGATCGGATCCATTCTAAACTCTTCATATTTAAACCATTCATCATGTCCTGACGACCCAGGCGACAAACAAACTCGCATTGCTGAACAAGATTTCATGTGCAATTTTCGGGAATGTGTATAACCCGCAGAACATCCAACGGGTAATAAGATCCTTCGTCAGCGACTCATCGGACCTACTATCAATTCATACTATCCAAACGTGAAGCAGATCAAGTTGCGCGAGATCACGAGGATGGTCCAGAGATGAATCTTATTGACCAAACAGAGAAGACACGCCTCGAAGATCTTGCAGAGCGCAAGAAGCGTGGTAAAGGACCTCCAAAGAAGGTAACTGTTTAACTTTGAATATATTTTTTTGTTTTTTTGTTTTTATTTTTTTAATTTCAATATGGATTGTATGCTAAAACAAATGTTACTGTTCACCAGGTCAAGGTCGTCGCTCCACTCTCAAGAAAAAATAATTTGAGCGATAGTTGCATAAACAAACACATTATATCAACATTGTTAAATCAGCACTTCCGAGAACTATGCCCATGTAAATTATTAAAAATCATCTCTTCCAATTCTGTTCCATATTTAATAACTGTATTTAATTTCCATAATGCTTTAGAATGAATCATTGAGAATTATGGCATTGTGGGCTGTTTTTTTCTTTTCTTTTCCTTTTTCTTGCTGCTGCACCGATATTTCCTACCCTTCTCTAGTCAATTTCCTGATGATTGGCTATTTCAGTTAAGACCATTTTTGGGCGCGCTTTATACCACATTGTTTCCTGTTGATGCTTGGTCATCTTGAGCTGCAACAGGTTCGATTGAGCTGGCAGGCGGATCAACTGTGCTTGTTCCTACAATGGCTGCCATGGCTGCCATTACAGCTTCTGGCGCAGGTGCTGAAGGATCTGAGATATTATTGTTTGAATTGGCCAGCGGCGCGGTCGCCATTTCATGCTCCGCCTCGGCAGCATTGGAGTTTTTATCGGCCACGACAGGTGCTGTCTCTGTAACAGGTGTAGACGATTCTGTTCCCTTGTCTACGCTCGTGTTCAAAATCTCGCCATGTTCCTGTGCCTTTTCCATCATGTTTATATTGTTTGATGAGCTTTACTGATCTTTCAACGATTTTGTGAGGGTCCTGGCTGAACTGAAGTGCCGAGATCTTTTTCATTAATCGACCAATTTTGGTATCCTAACGAAAAATGAAAAAGCAACATTACAATATGTTCATATCTTTCTGCTTGTGAATTTTGAAACTATATATATACAAGGATACTTGATATACCTTAAGCATTTGTAAATCAATGTCAAATGCTTCTACTTCGGCGAGGATTGGGTCCGCACGCTCCAGATTCTAGTAGCGTAAGGATAGGAGGATATTAGATTAGGGTACCCAATAAGAAAGAGAAAAAGCAAATGTTTTTTTTTATACCTGAATCAAAACATCGTCTGAAAGGCCTTCCACCAGAAGCAATTTCTGCAGCTTATGTCGGAGTTTCAGAAGACGCTCGCTGGGCTGGCCACCTATTTTATTTCCAAAAGATGTTATTAGCTTGATATAATGCGAACACTTTCTCTCATCGCTCAAAATATTGACGCAGAACTATGGCATACTCTTAATCCTCTTCTTTGCTCTCAAGTCTCCCGCGTCCCCTGCGTCATCTTCCGATTGTTTCGTACGTCCATTGCTTGTATCTCCAATGCTAATATCATCATCCACGCTCTTGAAGTCTGACTCGAGGCGGGAGCGAGGCGCACTTGCCGTTCGCTTAATGGAAGGCTAGAGGCACGGAGGTCAATGTGTCAATAATAAACAATGATCCCGGAAATAGTTCTAATTATGCCATGACCCAGCTATTTTTAGTATATCCCAAACTGCATTACACACACCTTGGCTAACTCATTATTATCATCTTCAACCGATGCCGTCTTCTTGGAGACCTTTCTTTTTGCAGTTTGGTCCTCTGAAGTGCTTGGTCGTCTTTTCTTCTCCACATTAGTCTGGCCTTTTTGTGTCGTTCTTTTGGTCTTTCGGAGGCATTCGTCTTGGATGGTGTTGCTGCTACTTGATCGTCGTCATCGTCGTCATCTTCCTCGGCATCGCCTGTAATTCGATGTGCGATAATACTTGGATCTAAAGCCTCACCCAGTGCAGTCCTTAAAGCACTCCCTCTCTTGAGAGTTGACTTTGTTTTCTCAGCTGAGGCAGGATCAAATGGTTTGAGTTCTGTGGTCCCGAACCAGCCACTAAGATAAAGGCAGAAAGAAGAATTGCAAGGCAATGTCAGAAACAGGAGTAATAGTGAAACCATAAGAACGCCCTATTGCCGGCTTTCTAAACGAAGAGAAGGGAACTTTATCTTCTGCTCAGTGTCCAAGGATAAAAAGAAGGATAGCTGTGCAAAAAAAAGACAGATGTCAAAATAGTCAAGACTTAATCTCTGCTGCCAGTTCCTCACATCTATCTTCCATTGCAATCCGTACTTCCAGTGCTATCTCCTGATACTGCTCAGCAGCTTAAATGGCTATTAGGCAGTATACAGCCACCATCTTCCTCTTTCTCTCTCTCTCTTTCTCAAAAAATAAGCATAGCGATGCTGTTCATCCACGCAACTCTTTGATTGCCGACCATGCTACAAGAAACACTACTGGTTTGTAATAATATAGTGTGGTCGAAAGCATTCCAACACTTTTCCAATCTAGCGTTGTTCTTGACTCTGGTCTTTGCTGCTAGACGTATCGAGAGGTGTTTTTAAGAGCTCGCAACAGTCCGACGCGAAAACTACTTACTAGTCGTATGAACCAAAGAAAAAAAACTGGCCAAATGGGTCTCTGTTTTGGTTTCTTGCTACTAACATTGACTGGTAGGTCCTGTTCATTCTCAATCTACAAGTACATCCCATGGCAGCAATTAAAGAAAAAAAAAAAAAAAAAGCCAATAACAGGATATTGTCAACATTGGTTTCTGTTCAGGTGTACTTTTCCTATGAAGAAATAGTGTGCATTCATTGCTCTTTTTTTTTTCTTTTTCTTTTTCTTTTTTTCCTTACACGCGCTGGCCACCAAGGATATCCCTTGAGTTTGGCAAAGACGGTGGTTCCAACGGGGTAAAGGTTTTCTGTCATGTTGCCACTAAGATGAAGACCAGTTCAGCAATGTGTGTCCAATGTTTTTTAACAGGGTTTACGCGGTCGATCAAGATGAATGCTGCTCTGGTTCCGTGCGTGGTCCTGATGCTTGCTGTGCAAAAAGGTGGAGTGCAAGCAAAAATAGAGCTAAAGAGAATAAGGTCCTCTGTTTTTTTTTTTTTTTTTTTTTTTTTTTTTTTTTTTCCCGCTGGGGGCAGTGACCAGTGACGTGCTTCATTGCTTTTGACTCAAATCCCTTCCTCTATCTCTCCTATCAGCAAAAATGACATTCTCCTGGAACAAGGTTGCATCAATGGTGTACAAACATTTTTATACATTTTTTATGTAGGATCACAACAATGAAAATAATTCTACGGCGCTGAGTTGCCAGAGATACCAGTCATGGTCATGTCACCAGACGCATTTTCGTCTATCAATGGCGATCTGGGTAAGGTTACATTTGTCAGGCTGATAGATGTCGCGCCTGTTCCTGCGCCAGAGGAAGAAGACCCTCCATTGGTATTCAATGAAGAAGGCCCTGCCCCTGCTGATGAAGAGGACCCAGCATGGCCACTACTGCTTCCAGAGATATTGTTCTCTGGTACTGCTCCCGCTGCTCCCGCTGCAGTAGCGTTTTCCACAAGTTGGACTTGGCCATCCATGACACGCTTAAATGTTTCCAAGACTTTTGTATTGTATCCTTTGCATTTATCGCATTTGTGATACAGGAAATGGTATGGTGCCTCGGACTTAACCTCACAGTCGTTTACAGAGAACAACAGAAAAGATATTTGCATACTCTGGAGGCATTGTCTGCTCTGCAAGTAGCGAGTCAATCTTTGAGTAGTATGCTGACATGTCGCCTAATGATTTCCAGCATGTAGGGCACTGGTACGAGATTTTGATGTAGTTCCTCATGACACTTCGAATGGATACAATGACCACATGCTAATAAAGCAAAATACGAGGATATAGAATATGTTTCATGATCTCAATCCATGCATGAGTATCCAGCATTCAACTTGTCGTTAAAGTGATACGTACCATAAAAATAACTGTTGTCGTACTCGTGAACATGTAATTCGCCGCAGATTGGGCAATCACATTCTAAATTCCTCTCAATACACTTGTGATTGTTCTGGAGCTGAATATTCATACACACATTACACTTTTGGCAGTGAAAGTAATCTCGTCCAAGTCCTTGTCCTATCCTGCAGATGCCACATCTTCACAGTGATAGATATTTTTCTTGATGTCATCATCCCAAAGCTACAAACATCGCAATAATAATTTGCTAGTTTAGTCTTGCAAGAACTACAGTTTTGCGCGGCTGCCTGAATTGTCTGGCAATGCATGCAAAGCATCATTTTCGTCTCGCTCCTAAAACCAATAATACATTCGATGAGTAAAGCAATAAGACACTGATGCAAGATGAATACAAAAGACCAAAAGGTGAAAGGAAAAAAAAAAAAAAAAAAAAAAAAAAAAAAAAAGTAGCAGAGACTAATTTAGCGCCATCTTACCTGACGATTGCGTGGTCACTGGCGTCATCGTGGCAAAACCTACAGTTGAACCATTTGCCACAACAGTTGGCCTTGAGTTTGCACCCTCGCATATAGTGTTTGCATCCCAACTGATTTAATTCTTCATTCTAGAGTAAAATTTAGTGTGACAGAAAGTTAGACTCGAAGTCTTCGAAACTTGATCACAAAGTCCACTGAATGGCAAGAGCACATACATAATATGTCTTTTTCAAATCGTCTGCCCCAGCCTCGCCGCTTTGATTGTCTGATGAGCGTTGCGAGTCATGCCACTTGGACGACATAAGTTTCTAAACAAAACACAAGGAAGCAAAGAGATATCAGACGATGGTGAAAGTAAGCATAATGAAACTGACAAAACAAAACAAAAACAAAAGAAAACAATATTGAACAACAGCGGCAAGATGTACATCTTGATATGCATAATATACCTGTATCATTCCAGCCTTGTCTGCAAATTTGATATTGGGATCTCTTTGGATATCCATGATCTTGCGCCTCAGCTCGTTCTGAGCTTTCTCATCCACAACTGGGACGGATACTGTCCTTCCTGATGTAGCAGCAACAGCAGCTGTAGGTCCTAATCTTAATTCGTTGCTCGATATATTCGTAGAATCCGAGCTACTTCCTGTTCGCAATACAGTAGCCGATTGTGAGTTTTCAGTGTCATTTCTAGATGGGTGATCCTCATTGTTTGCACGGCCATTTAACATCCGCATCTACATCTTCCTCGTCTTCTTCCTCTTCTTCGTCTTCGTCTTCGTCTTCGTCTTCATCCTCATCCTCATCCACATCCATGTCATTTCCTAATTGATCAACTACCGTTTCATAGCGGTTTCCTGGATTTTCGCTAACAAGAGATTGTATATTATGGTTTTGTGAGCCCATAGTTGTGGACTGGAGGTTTGT